GAAGAAGAATCTAAGAGTTTTTTTTTTTTGATTTTGTCTTTTTCATATTATTCTTATATTATGAAAGAAATAAAATATTTTATTCATGTTTGCACTGGCTTAAGTAAACCTCAGAGACATTAGTGAGAACTCTTGAGCAGGTGTAACCTTCTACCTTTGGTCTCAGGCTTGCACTGAGTTTTCGAGTTCTCCCAAATGTCTTATCAGTATGCATAAACCTGTGCAAACACAGTAAACATCTTTTATTCCTTAAAGATAATATTTCTAGTGATAATTTAATTTGAAATAGAAGTTTAGCAACCATTGTACACAAAACTATTTCTCATGTGATTCGTGGCTAGTCGAAATATTTTTTGAAGCTTATGTAAGTTAGTTAAATTTTGTATTGGACTTTGGTTTTGACTAAGACTTTGGTTTTGACTAATACTTTGGTTTTGACTAATACTTTGGTTTGGACTAAGACTTTGGTTTGGACTAAGACTTTGGTTTTGACTAAGACTTTGGTTTTGACTAATACTTTGGTTTTGACTAATACGTTGGTTTTGATTAATACTTTGGTAGCAGACTAAGGTTTTGTACGAACTTTGGGCCAATTTCAATGAAATAGCAGGTTAATATTCAACCGCTGTACATACCATGTTCAAATTGAAGGAAATTGTATCCAAGTTTTGCAAATTTCAACGCATTAGTTCGATCGATACGTATTTTCAGGGCAGGATTGCTGGTACTTTATAGCGATTTGCAAGTATATTAACTGGTTATTTGCCATCCATGAGCATGACATTTATGACGTAATTTGTACAAATAACCATTCAAAGTGGTGTGGGGGCTGTTTTGACCAGTTTCATAAGCATGTTGCAATTATGTTTATCTGTTCGTCTTTATGCACTATTTCTGACTCAAAAAGTAAGTCTCCACTGTTGTGTAGAAAATCTCGTTTGAACCACCAAATGTTAAGTAAACTTTCCACACAGCTGTAAGATTTTATTCAAAGTTTTAATCACAGTTCACAATCCGCTCTACATGTGTCTCTCGCTTCAACAAATGTGGCAATGTGCTCGCCTAAGCGGTACTTAGATGAGGGGCGGATCAATGCTCCTTTGACAGGAGGGATGCAGATTTACCAATGGGGTCCATCGTTATCCTAGCTAAAGTTGTAAAGGGCTTCGAGCTGTTGCCGATTTTTAAGCTTTCAGATGAGTGAACCTTGCATAATGAAAGCGTAATTACCTTTTTCGAAAAAATTGATATGTTTTTGTTAAAGAATTCGCATTTAATAACTTATTGCAATGTTTCAGTGAAAAAAAAGTAATACTTAATTGAAAATGGTGGTGGTGTATACTGTAAAGCAGGTTATTACAGGTAAAGCAGCAATTACCATTGAAATTAGAAGTTATACGCTTATTTAGTCTTATTGAACAATTTCATAGCTTCTAATACTGTTATATTATTTGTCTACAGTACGTATTATCATCCATAGAATTTTTCTTTGGGGATGTGCACCCCCCTTAACCCCCAGGAAATCTGGCCCTAATGTAGACCTGCCTTAGGGCATTCTGCGTAAGGTCTATTTATGGGTTATTTTTGACAGTTGCTAAAGTCACTTTGTTTAACAAAATTAGGTTTTGTACTTAGTGATCACTGACATAGAATTTCGCTTTTTGCAAAGCAGTGCTCACTGTTTTTAGCTTGGTAAACGTTCTTTCATTTCCTGCTACTGTCACAGGAGCTGTCAAGACGATTCTGAAAACCCTTCTGGTGAGCGGGAAAATGTGCTTGCGCTTCTCAGCTTTTTTGACATGGGCAGTTCTCCTAATGACTTGGTCTGTTGCTTGATGAGGGAAGTAGTTAACAAGATCTCTTGACAACGCTTTCTTCATGTTGTAGCTTTGAGGTTACTATTTGAACATTAGTACTATATAAAGTGCTTTCCAGCTCTCATTGAAATTTCAGTTGCTGATCCTGACATAGGCGTACAAGAGCTATAATGCCTAAAGTGGCAGTTAAACACTTTTCCCTGCTCAATAAAACACCACACTGCTTTACATAATTCTTTCACAAATATTTTTTGCGCAACTAACCTTCAAATTTTGCCATACTTTTCAATCTTCAATTTTTCCTTGTGTTCAGCTCCTCCCTGCCCCTACATCTTGTACGCCTATTGATTCTAGTGTGTTTGACAACATGTTTGATGCAGCTTTGCAAATTTGGAAGAAGCGTCTACAACATATCTTCATAGAATGATTTGAAATTATGTCTTTTCTTATGTCTTCCCACGATTTTTTTGTGCTACCACTCGCTTCCAAAACATCAATGATTTTCAAATTATCTTCCTGACGCTATTTCATCAGCACTTTTATTTTTAAAAAATGGAAACTAAACATTCGTTCTTGTGACCGCCACAAATACTGTATGCAGATTTTTTTACTTGCTTCATCGCCGCCATTGAAGCTCATTATTTTTAAAACAAATGAAAAGGCATTCGTACGCCACCAAAGGCCCGGCGAATTTTTGGGGACCAGATTTCATTAGACTTTTTATGGTCTTATCCATGTTCTGTTGAGACACAGTGCCGCATTAACCAATAAACCAACCACTGTATGGGCCCATGCCCAGAGCCCAAAAGTTTTCATTTTGACAATTATAGATCACATGTTTGTAAATGTAGATCGTGCAGGTCGGTATAGTCCTGAGAAGGACTGTTTTTGTTGTTGTCATACATGTTTGTCATACATGTTACATGCCAGTAATTTAAGAATGACAACGAACGCATGCGCAGCAGCTTAAAGTTACGTATAATGTAGACTGCAACCTTGTCGTTCGTTGGGTTGTACTTTGTCCTTTATGTTTGTTAGTACTTGTCGTAACGTTGTGATTGGTTTATGTGCGACAGGTATGTTGTATGGTCGTAAGATACGCGAGATAGTCTCAGTAATCTCTTAATGTTCTGATTGTGGTGGCTTTGTCTGACGTAGGGTTGTAAGATGATTGGTCTAGTAGTCAGTCAGTGTGTGTTGGTTTGTGATATACTGTTGTTCGTAGTTTTTGATTGTCCTGTTTTGCTAAACAGTCGAGAAAAAGAAGAGTTCCGTTTTCTTCGGCATATTTGGTAAATTGTATGTGGCTGTTCTGTTTGTTGATGTGAGTGTGAAAGTCATCAATCTCGTCTGCATGTAGTGCTGTGATTGTGTAATCTACGTAGTGGAACCAAAAAGGTAGTGCATGTTTGTAAGTCGTGAGCGCCCGTTCCTCTATAGATTGCATTACAATTCCAGCAACTACAACAGAAACGGGTGAGCCCATTGCTGTTCCATGTAATTGTTTGTAGTGCGTACCTTTGTACTGGAAGTAAGTCGAGGTGAGGCAGAGCTCCAGTAGCTCCATGATGTCTTCTGTCGGTAATGGCAGTACGTCCGTGGTGTTTGTAATGAGGGTTTTTGTACAAGTAAGTGCCAGATTAAGAGGAATACTGGTGAACAGTGATTTCATATCAAAAAAGTTCACAAATACCCACACTCATGCCGTGGGGCTTTAAATTCACCTTACAACCACCATTTACTTAAGAAATAAAAGATGTTACTGTGTTTGTACAGGCTTATGCAAACCGAGGAGACCTTTGGGTGACCGTGAGAGCAGATCAGTGGAACGCTGAGACCAAAGGTTGAGAGTTCTCACTGAGAGACAAACTGTCTCCGAGGTTTGCATAAATTAGTGCAAACACGAAAAACATCTTTTATTTCTTTCATAAAACGACAATAATGTAAAACAAACGTTTTAATTTTCCTCTAAAATTTATTCATGATTGATTGAGCTCAAATCAGTTTGTACAGGTTGATCCAAACACAAAGTCATTCATTTAGGTGATATTTTTTTCTTAATTTTCACGTGTCATTTTCCATTACCCTCATAGTATTAGCAAAACAAATCATTAGTAAAGTACAACTGAGTTTTTCTGGACATTGTTGCAGCTCTCTGCATTTCATACAGCTACAGTAGCTGCACTAATCGACCGCCCCTAAAATCTACACCCTGTCTTTGTCTTACGCCTCTTCCTTAACAGCTCACCCCCCTAAACGTTTCAGCAACTCCCTTGTAAATACTATAAAGAGCCGTCCATTGTTTTATAATCAAGATTATGGGAATAGAAATATTTCAATTGCAGTAACGGACATAAAGTGGTTACGCGCAAGGCCCGTAAAGCCTTTTCCAAAAGTCGGGGGGGGAGCAAAAATGCATGAGATCATAAATTATTTTAAAGGGAGAACGAATCTTACCCTATAAAGTGCTTTTGCATAAAAAAGGCGGGTCAGGGCAACTAGCCCCACCCTTTTCTCCTATTTGACATAGCGCCTAAATGTGGATAGCCTGTGACGTGTTGATGAATTAATTATAAAAGTTCAGTTTATGGAATTTTCTTCAACGAAACATTTATGGATTTGAAGGGCATGAAGCTCAATAGTAAATAGGCTATGTAGCTCAACATACAAGAGAAAACATGCAATAGGAAGACTTTGGTATTAGATTGAGTGTTAGTCAACAAGAAATGTAAAACTCAAAATTCTCAAAGCGAATCTATCCATTTTATTAAATATCAATTAATTTTAGTTAGAAAATTTTAGGACCGATAAAACTTTACTGACGCGAGAATGCTTTTTCAATGATTGTTCAAATTTAAATATTTTTATGATAACATTAAACGATCGTCACTAGCGATTTTTAGATTGACATATAATATATGCGATGAATACAATCATGAACTGCAGAACCGCCACTTACTTTCGGTTTTTCAAATAAAAAGCATCGTTACTATGAACATCTTAATGCATTTTTCGTTACAGCGAGGTTGCTGCTTGTTTTAATTAAATCCAGTAATGTACAGTGACATTAAAACTTTACCTTAATTTTTTGTTGGTCATAGTATTTCCACTTATATGCCGAGAGCAAAGTCGAACTCCATGCTTTACCAAAATTTTTTATTTCTCTGTGCTCCAATGGCTTACCTGATTGTACAGCAGTTCAACTGGCTTGAGAATGTAACCATGCTAAATCCACGATTGCAACGAAAAAGTTGATTTGTACAAGATTAAATATCTCAGTAGAAATATCCACGTATGAGCAGGAGCAAAGCCAACCTGTTTTTTATTCTTACAATGCAAACATTTCTGTGTTAACTTAATAAAAATCAACAATGAGCGGAATTATACTTCTAAAGAAATGAATAGTAAATTAAAGGAAAATTTGTATTATAAGATTGAAAGTTTGAGCTGGCTTTGCCCCCCTGCAGGGGGTGGGTTATGTTTGCGCTATCAAACGTATCGCGTTTGGAAAAAGCAGATTTCGTCATGAACAGAGAATCATTTTGTAAGAAGCTCGTCAACATGTATCACGTGTTTTGCTACAATTTTCTCAACCAAGAAAGAAAGATAAACAAGAAAACACAAGAAATCAAATGGGATGTAGACTTATGTAGCACATCGAAGTGGCAATCTATGAATTTGATTTATCTTACAGCAAGGAGTCTCAAAGATTGGTGAATAGAAAACTTTCCCGAGTCAATTGTTATCATTGATGTATTCTGCAAGTACTTCAATATTGTGGATATTCATAAACAGACCAAAAGTCTGTGTTTTTATGAACTACTTGCGTTAAAAATGAATGATATAAAACATTATGAGGTAAAAAGGGAGATTTCATTAAAATTTGCGAATAAACTGACAATTTGCTGATAATTTATCTCGAAAAAAAGACAGAAAAAAAGGACGCTACTCGCCACGACAGGTGTCTTCATGTAAATCGAAAAAGTATAACTTAAAAATCCACTTTTTCAAAAAGAAAAACGAACATGTTAAAGATATTATTGAAATTTATAAAGTACCTGAGATATTTGAATATTTGAAGCATATCCAGTCCTTAGCCAGCTCGTACCGAAATATTGGAAGTTTCTCATAGTCCATTACAATCCAACATTCGGAATAGATTGTTTACAGGAAATCCGTTGCTTGGTAACGACTCGCTACGGAGAAAAAAGAGGGTTTTGAATTTTAAGTAGAAATAATGTAAACTACTCTAACAGCTTTGGCATGAGTAAGAATAGGTACACTTAGGGATTGCAAAGACACTAAATAGGGCGGCTAGGGTAGAATAGCACGAACACATAGTATACAGTGTACGAACACATAGTGACAGTGCATGGCCACCAGCCCCCCTGTTCTGTGGTACCTTATGCAGCGCATACATGTGAAAGCCTGTGGCGTGGATTAAATGCAAGCGTACATAAAATAATTATTGTGTATACTAATAATGAAAAAATATTTTCAATAGTAACAACAATAATAAAATATATCGAAAAATCATTGTCAAAAGGCATAAAAAACCAAGAGATAATACTATTCTTCCTTCCTTTAAAACTCAATGATTCACATGCCCGCATAAAACTTGGTGATTATGACTGCGTGTTTACAATACAACTTTAATGTGTAAAGTAGTTGCGCTTATCCCAAAAATGGAATGCCTGCGTCGTCCCAAGGAATCTTCCTGATTTTTGAGATGAATCATGCGTTGTCAACAATTAGTGGAAATACTTATGTGAAGAGTTTGATTCGTCGTTCATTATTGTTTGATAAGATGAAATTTGTGATATCTTGGTAGAGCTTGCTCACAAATGATGGTGAAAAACAGAAAGCTGACACAAGCTGACACCAGCTGTATGGGTAGAGTTATATCCACAGACTGCAATATAAACAGTTGTAAATAGGTGGATGATTCTGCGTAGTTTTAACGGCCTAACTCGCAGATCTAGAATATAACAGTCTCAACACATGTAAGTAACTGTTGCAATTTTTAAGCTTTATCAACTCATATGTTGATGAAAAATTGCTTGAAGCATCCTGCATCAACAAAAATCCAAGATACAGACGAGCGAAACATCTTTCGATGAATTAGATACAGAAGAAGCAGAGCCGATGAAGTCAGCATCTGCATCTTTACCAATCTACAGTCACGAAAGATGACGACGTTGTCTTGTTAGGCATTACCCCCAACACTTTTAGATATTATTTCCAGATACTTGGACTTGCTAAGCATGTATATATTTCTAAAGTTGTTCTCTAAACAAGAAACAATGTTTTATCGCGTAAGGGAAAGGATCATCTGAAGGATATCGCACTTCTCATGGTGGAAGAGAAAAGACTAAAAAACCTTTCCGTTCCATAGCTCCTCGATACACAGCCACGTAAACAAACATCTTCTGATTCGTGAGTGCATTGGACAACAAAATCAAAACTGCACGAGATACAGTATCAGACATGTGATCTGATGGTCTGGAGAATCAATTTTTAGGAGCTTAGAAAGATAGGTGATTTTAGGATATGGAGTGGTATAATATTCATATATGCATGTTTGAATTTGAAGAAAGCGTAGGAATGGCTCTCTCATTTATCGACTTTGCACACACTTGCCAATTTGCATAATGTTTTGTGAGCGTCAAATGTTAAGTCATAGTGAGCAAAAAATAAATGAGACATCAAATTAAAAATAACTATTTAAAAAATTTGTGCGTCTTTGAATACAATTTCATCAATTTCGTCAATTTCATGAGAAGGTAGGATGCCTTGCGCTAAAAATCTGCTACCGTGCCACGTGCCTTGAAAAGGATGGCGAAACTAAAATAAATACTGACTGCTTAACAATTGCAGAAGCAAAACTTATAAAAAAGAAGCCATAGCATAAAGTCAACATAAAACCGGGGGCATCATTAAACTTTTAAAAGATTGCGAAAAGCTAAAACACTTTATCAAACTTCGTTTCCTTCAAGCTTCGATGATTTTAAAAAGAGGAGATGACCGGATGAGGACACCAAGAGAAAAACGTCAGGGAAGTTCATAAGTCAAAGTGGTAGCATACTCAGGGACGTGGGGACGTGTCGCTCTCGCCTGCCGTTTGCGAGACCTCACACTTTCACAGGAAGACATTTTCGTAAGGAGTTGTTAGTATGGCCGATGATTTACTTAACTCAAATGGCAACGGAGAAGTTGATCCGGCGGCAGACTTTTTAGCACGAGAACAAGATGAACTTGCCGAACTCGGAGAAGACTTTCAAACCAACGAGAACGCCAGTGTAAGTCGAATATTTTCTAAAATATTCCTATTTCTATTATACTGCAATTAATGCTGTTGAATTTTTGTTGTGCGTTTGATGAACGACTCTTTTGAAATGGTTGATTGAAGAAAGTTTTGTACGTTTTAATTGTACTTACCTTTCATATTTTTTGTTGGATAACTTTAGAAATTTTTCGAATGTAGTTAATAATTTAAACTGAAATGTACTCCAGCATGGGGTATTTATATTGACACTGAAGCATTCAATCAATTTACACAGTAACTACAGAGCTATCAGAGAATTCATTTATCTTAATTCCCTGCAAAAAATGATGCCCTTTTGAAACATTCATGGTTGTCATTGGCAGTCCCTACCACTGGTCCCTACCAATTGCTAACCACAGTCGAATATTTACAGCTCTATTTTAGTATGGACTGAAGATGGAATTAAAGCATATTTGGTCTCATTCTTTGTCTTATTTACAGATAAATTACAAGTATTACCACCATAAGCACTGGTGTTGAGTTTTAACTATATCATCAAAGTGCTTTGATAAAAGATCAGAACAAAGTTCATAAAATTAATGCTTTCAACCTTGCATTTGTTTTAAACTGTCCATTGTTTTCTAGACTGATGATCTCGGAGATTTAGTTGGTGGGACGGAGGATACAAGTGGCGGAAGTGTAAATGATCTAAGCAACGACAATGTATGACACACCATTTATTGATAAAATTTAAAATTGAGAGCTCGAAAAGACAGCATTTGAATCTTTATAATGTTTACAAAAGTCAATTTTGAAATTTGCAACCTACCAAAAAGATGAGTGAGAAGTTCAACAAAGTAACAAGGGTTTTAAAATCAAACATTTATTAAAACTCTATGGTGTATGTTGTACTATGTTCTTCATTATGAAATCAAAAATGATGCAATGTTTGTTGTTTGAAATCAAAATTCTTATGAATGATTATGTTTTTAAATTTTTCCATTGGAATGTATCAATTGGGTTGCATATATTGATGAGCCAATGATGGGAAATTGATCTTCAAAAGCCGATAATCAGAAATTTTTATGCAGATCAGTTAGTGGCGAATCACATTCATGCAAATCAACATATATCAGTCATAATCAATCATATATAATAATATAATTTCGGCTTTAAAAATTGGACGACTAAAACTTGCAAGTCTTCATTTTTAGTAACGAAGAGCATGAATAGGTGTTTCAGAGAGATTGTCATCCGAAAAAAAGTATAAAGCTGTAAACGAATTGTCGAATTTAGAAAATTTCACGGTTTGGCCAATAGTCTTTAGCTGAGGGAGAAAAGCAATGTTTTAGTTGTTTTGTGTCTTCTATTTAAACCGTAAGTGATCAAAATTCTATGTGCAAATCCATCAAATTAGATACAATGCCAAATACAAAATGGATTTGTGAATTAAGCATGCTTATTTTTATGTTGGCTAACTCAGAGAATTTCATTTTTGGAGTTATTTACCACACATATCAACCACTAAATATATCTTTGACTATGGTATTGGATCAAGATTTATCTGATTGGTAAATGCTATTTTTCCTTGATCGGCTCATCACTAGTTGCATTATTTCTTTGATGTGTGTATTATGAGCATGTGTAAGACAACCATATCAGAAATGAATCAATAAATTTCTTTTTTTATGCAGGATATCACTGCGCCATTGAATTCAATGTCTGGTTCAAGTATGATGCCTGAAATAGAACCAGAGTGCATTAGGTATCATTGATGTGATTTTATTGTCCTCAGTAGAAATTAAATTTTTCTTGTCAATTTGAATTATATCGCCACTATATGCGCCATTTTGCAACTATGGAAACTTCTATGCATGAAATAGCTCTCCATGTAATGCCTATGTATGCAACAATATATTGTCTCTATACAAAATTTCCCAAAACTGTCTTGGACTTTCTCCTCAACATAAATGTTTGCATTTTTATGCAACTTGTTGAAGTTTTTGTGATAATTAGAATTTACGATCAGTCATTTCCTAATGTACATATTATAGAATAATTTTCTATTTGGTTGTGGTACAATGAAAATGTCTGTGTATTAAGTAAATTTTTTCATTGATATGAAAATTGATCAGTCACAGGATATATTGCAAATTTGTCAACTATATCAGCGTCAGGGAAATAATTTCCTTAGATAACTAAATTCAGTTTAAGAACATTTGCAATAAATTTGATTGGTCGAAATTTTATCTTATTGGGCGTTGTTGGCCTAGATGTTGACTACGCACCGCATGTGACGTGTTGAAGACGCATTGAAGATCTAGCTTTTATCATACTGAACAAAACTGTTATGGCAAATCTTCTTAAAAATATCAGTACAAATTTAAGATACTGTATAGGTTTGTGGTTTGGCGACATTGTTTGAGCGAATAATCAGAGAACGTTTAAAAAGTAGAACTGCGTTTACTTATTTTTTCGTTACTTCTGGCGCAAAGTCACTTAATTCTAGGCCCACAACGCCCATGAAGATAAAATCATTGAAGTATCAAATATATTGAAAATGTTCCTAAAATCCATTCGACTATCTGACCCTGATATAGCTTTTTTAAGTTTTGGAAACATTGAATACTTGTGATGAACATATTAATAAGGGAACAACTGATCATTATTTACATATTACAAAAAATTCAATAAATGTGTAGTCAGCATGCAAGCCTCAGTATCGAAAAGGAAGGCCAGTTCAGTTTTAGAAGTTTTTTTTATCAAGATAGTAAAACATTTCGTTGCATCGGCAATTCAACTTGACAGTCTGGTGTGTCAAAATGTATAATAGGGCCAGTTTCAAACGTCGCATTTTACATGAACCGAAGGCATTTAAAACAAAAGATAATGAGGAATTTTATCTCATTTTCTTTAGTATTTTATGCATTCAGCGCATGTAAAATGCGACGTTTAAATCGTGCTCAACTGATATCAATGAATTCACGTTTCTAAAGAAAATGGAGGGAAGAAAAGGCTGCATTACTCGAGGAAATGGATGAAAAAGAACGCAGCGAGCAGGAAGAGTGGATTGCTCAAGGAAAGAAAGAACTTGAAGAGTGGTATGCCAGGTTAAACGAACAACTTGGAAAAACAAAGGACAATAACAGGTTACAAAATTCTGGGGTTTTTTTCATGAATGCAGGCATGGATTTAGAGTCGGATTGCGCGCGTTTCCTGTAGTGGCGCTAATTTTCCCTCCAAATACAAATGCACCAAACAATTAAGCACAGGCAGTTGTGAATGTGATAGCTATGGGTTCAATGGAGTACACTTTCAAATATCTCCCAATCATAAGAAAAAGCGAACAGAATTTAACAATAAAGTCTGACATTCTACAACGACATGAAATCACCAAGACCACGGCTAAAAAAACTTCGGCTCCCCGCTCCGGCCAAAAAACTGCGGCTTCTGCCAAAAAACTCCGGCATCTGCCAAAAAGCATCGATTCCCAGAAAAACAAATTTCAGCTCCTGTAGAAAGTTTACAGAACTCATGAAACTTGAAAGTCGAGCATGCCGTTTCTAAGTCACTGTTGTTCTTCCAAGAGAAAAAAACTCGTTTAGACGCCATGATGGTGGACATGACAAAGAAGATATTGGCAGAGGTTTCAGTGTCAGCCATTTGTCCTTGTGGCGGTATCAATATTGACTTGTCTAGTAACAACCAAGTTTGCAATTTTTGCTTTGAATGAAGAAAATGTTTTATGAAAGATTTGTTTTTCGATCAGAGACAATGGTTTGTCTCAGAATAACTTTATCGTGAAAAATGTCACTTTCGGGAGATCAATACGATAAGACATCATGTTATCGGTCTTACATAAAATACTTTGCTTCTGTGGAGGTTTTTACCTTTCCATTATCAATAAATTCGTATGTTTGCTGTTTTTTTATGTTGGAGTTTAGGCATTTATTTAGTTCAAACATTAACGAAAATCTCACTTCCTGCGTTTTTGACCACAACTTCGGCTCCCTTAAAATTCATCAAAACTCCGGGTCTTGCCCTATTTCTTTCACAGAAAGCAATTACATAGTTTGTCCTTTTATGTTCGATGTAGGGCAGACGAAGAGCAATTCATCGCGGACAGGGACGAGACAAAGCCTGGTACCGAGTGGGAGAAAGTGTGTGGTTTGTGCGACTTCAATCCAAAAGGAGCGAAGCCGACAAAAGATACCTCAAGAATGCGTTCACTTTTCCTTCAGTTAAAACAGGCCCCGCTGATTAGATAAATGTGTGATTTAGATTGACTGTAATAGCCTTAGCTCATATACCTATTTTTACTTATTCATATTTTACATCCACCATAATGTTGAAACGTGTAGTGGATTGTACACTTGAAGTTAATGAATTTAATGAACCATAAATTAAAATTTCGTGTTTATTTTTTATTTTCAATGGTCGTCACGATTATTGATAATAAATATTGTCGCATTTTCTCTAAATGAATTTTGTCTGTAATCAATTCATTACGCATGATAGTGTACCAACTGAATATATTATTTCACCAAATGTTCCGAAGTATCTCGTAGTCATCGGTGAATTTTGCACCTTGAACCCCTCCCCCCAGTTCAAATTATCTCGCTACGCCCCTGATGATTTTGTTGCCCCCACTCGGGCACTAAATTCTTTTTACATGTTTCTGTATATTTTTGTATGCTGAATCCAAATCCACTTGTTGTCACTGACACAAACCCTCGTTTTTTTTTGCATTTTGTTTTCGGGAAACTTCGTGTTATAATATTTACATGTACTAATTCCTGTTTTTTTTTGCCACGGTTATTACGTATTTTTTGTTTAGCATGAGAGTTTATCTGTTTGCTTCTTGTCAATAAAACAAAAACTTGCACTTTTAACATTTCACCTACATTGTTTAACATGCAGTGGCATAAATTTAGACTTGACCAATGAACTTAAATCTTTTTTTAACAGTCAAATATTTCCAGGCAAAGAACTCTTAAGTACTCCCATCAAAAATCACATTTCACGACAAAAGCTATCATTCGTCATGATAAAAATCGTAGCTAGTTTCTTGATCGCCTTCAGAAAAAGTGAAATCAGAAAACGGGTCATTAGTTTCCTGAAGATCATGTTCTTCTAGCTGACAACTATGACAACCTGTGCAACCAGGAAGACCAGATTTTAAGCAACTGCAGCGATTTGTCTTACAGTCTGTTAGATATTTACATTTGATGTGCTCAAGAAAGGACTCTGGGGCAGAGGGGCGAGTCATCCACACAATCTCTAGTTGGCCATCAGTCTATTTCCATCCATTTCCAGCTGAAGTAGGAAGTTTTAATTGAGCTGATAAGCATCAATTCCAAGCAAGTGACTGAAAGTTAGCCCTTTAAACATGTTGATGAAGGCTATCATAACTTGGTGGAAGAGCATCGTCAGAATACTTGCCTGAATTAAAAAGATGGTATCTGCACTCGTCAACAGTTGTCGATGTTTTGTCGCCATAAAGTTGACAAGCTAATGTATCTAGTGACATGAAAAGCTCCTCGGGAACTTCATTCAATCTTCCCAACTGACAGAAACTCTCTACAAACTTCGGATGCATTTTCAATACCTTCCAAGGCTTTACTTTACCTTAACCTAAAAAGGCGCTAGTGGAATCACAACCTATAAAAATGAAGGGAAAATGTTGAAAAGAATTGAAATCGATTAAATCATTTTAACATAGCAGTTTTACAATTTATGGAATTTATCAAGTATACCAGAGAAAGCATGAAATCCTAGCAAACACGAGCTTAACTCTTCACTAAGTAAAGTCGATACGGTGGAAATATCGATTAGGCGAAAATTGTTGCCTGTCACAGTCATCACGAGAAGTTCTTTATTGACGATCTTTTGCATTCCAAAACAAAGTACAAACCATTGAGTTCTATAATAACTGGAGCGGCTAACTGTACTGGGGCGAGGACGCCAAAATAATGGCGGCTAACGGACGTATTTCCGCTGAAACGATCGCTTTGCAGAAAAAAATACACTCGACCTCCCCCTGGTGTGTATAGTAAATTATAAAGAATTTTTCAAAAACAAACACGATATCACAGAATATGGATATCGTTAGTTTCATATTCTGTGACGATATCTTTTTTGGCATTTCTTTTATAATGCCAACATTTCAATTGTTCAAATGTTGCGAGAGCTGTGTCATATGCCATGGCACTGATATATGCCATGGCTGTGTCATATGCCATGGATAAAGATACGCAATGACCCAGACCATTTAAGATGGAGATTAAACCAGGGCATCCAGAAATTTGCCTTACCGATATTGCAAGAGCTAAAGAATTCGGAGTCTGGATCTTACCTATGCTGCTGTTATAAATCAAATCTTCGCAAATAGAAAACACTTTTATAGTGAGGTTGGCTTGCTTTATCGTATCAACGTATCTTGCTTCATCAGGCTCATCAGAATAGCCAAATATCCACGCAATAAAATTGAAAAGAAGCAAGGAGACCAATTTCTTGACGCTGTAACGCGTTTTTAAGATGCCAGGGGAGGCCATTGTCTGTACCAGGAGACGCTGTTTCTCTTAATATTTTCTCGCAACTCAAGGGCCACTAAGTAAAGATCTCTCAGCGCCATTCTTCTTCGATTTTTGGGCCATGTCTTCGTCATTTCTTTCCTCTGCTTCTTCCTCATCGTATGAATCTTTTGTACTTCTCTCATCTGATGCAATTGCTTTTTCTACGACAGTACCTTTTCCCAAATTTTCTGTAATGATAATTTCACTATTGTACCGTTTTTTTGGTTTGTGAAACACAAGCTCGGGGAATCTCTCTTGCAGTCTTCGTTTCAAACGGAACGTTTTGTAATGAGATGCATTCTCATTCTCCATTTCCACGACCGTTTTCAAAAATTCTCTAAGCATTGTCATGTAAAAAATGTTTGGATTTTTAATCACTTCTCTTTTCATCCAGGAGCAAAAAGATTCAAATGACTTGCTGAACGTATATGGCGTATATGGTGTTTCTTTTGGTGGGCTGGAGTACCTTAAAAATGATGTATATTGTTTGTAACATCTCTGGTAGTATTTCACTTCAAGTGCAATGCAATCTTTCTCCAATATGTGAAGGTGAATGCTTTGATCCTTTTTCTTTTCTGCAGCTTCACAAAGTTTTCCACAGTCAAATGTTGCTGAAGTAACCAGCTGGTCTAATTTGTGTTTCATTGTTCTTCATTAAGATTAAAACAAAATTTTACCTTTGTCAATGACAAATTGTATAACTAGTTTATAGGTAACAGGTGGAAAAGTAGTTTGTGTTAAATGATCAAAAAATACGGAAAGCATACCGGGTCGGTAATATATTTATTTTTTTTGTTACAAATAATGCACATTGGTGGTAAAATTGCATTGTTTCTTGGTTTTGCAGCACTCAACGTGGCTGTTGAAGATCTTAAATTTCTTTTTGGAGGAATGAGTTCTGCTTCTTGGACTTCTTTAATTCTGCAATTATCTTCGATGATTCTTCTCTCGTGATCTGATGGCCTATTTGCACATCTTGCTTAAGCACGTCTTATTAAAGTCGAGTTAATAAACTTAGAATATCAGTTTCGGAGATAGTATAAATTACCTGAAGTGCTTGATCGATTGCCATTTTTTTAATATCTTCAACTATTTTCGTTGTGTTATGAGCAATTTCTCGCTGTTCGTCATCAAGTTCAAGCCAAAGTTTTGTGGCATTCCAAAAACTTTTCTAATGATATGTCAGTAAAGCATGAGAGAGATCCACTTTCTCCTTCGAAATGGACGAAACAAGAAGGTTTGAAATGCATGTCTGCCATATTATCATAAAATGTTTTTTCTCATTCAAATTCCCGCGCAAAACTGCGTGTCCCCGCAGTAAACACCTGGAACTAGTACATATAATATTATAACAGTTTCCTCGAGAACAAAATGGCGGATTTGAAAAATACTATCTCAGACACGAAGACAGATTGAAGACAGCCCTAGTTCGCGTACGTGGTTCACATAGTAAGCACATAGTAAGCACATATATCGGCACAAAAATCACAAGTCAGCGAAGGCCAAACCTTGGACAACGGCAGGAGGCAAAGACGGCCGCCCCCCGCCTGCGCGGCCGGCCGTCGGGGGTCTATTATTTAGAGAGACATTCTCACATAGAATATATTGTGTTTAGAATATATGTCTTGACGCATTATCATGAGGCAGGGAAAGAACAAGTGTGTGCTGTTTTTGCCCGGAAAGCTCACCACATAATGGCGAAGCTCCATGGTTGAATACTGTGGACTTCCACTACCATACGTAAGTATGGGGGCGGAACACAGGCAGAAACTATCCTTTTTCAAGCCTGCAGTGCGAATAGGGTGCATCATAAGCTCGTTTATGCGGAGAAACAAGCAAGAAAGAGATTTGCTAGAGTACTCATCAAATTAACTTCGACATTTGAATTAATTTCGATTTAGAGATTTATCTCACGTAGGATATAGCACTAAAATTTGAACAGTCGAGATGAATGCTGAGAGACTTCTGCAACTATATGACCAAGGTGTAATCGACGGACACGCGCTGACAGCCACAGGCTCAGCCCGAAGACTACAACCATACCAGTTGTCTTTCACAACCTGCGGGGCTTTGACAGCCATCTCATCATGCTGACTATCGCAGAGACTGAAGGGAAGGTCACCTGCATCCCCAACAACGCCGAGAAATACATCTCGTTCAGCATCGGCCAGCTTCGATTTATCGACAGCGCCCAGTTCATGCTCTCAAGCCTGGATGGCTTGGTGAAAGCCAGCGACTCGCGAGACGTGCGCATCACAGCAGACTACGAGCCGAACCTCCAGAGGCGTACCCTCTTGCTCCGGAAGGGGGTCTACCCCAACGAGTACATGGACGGCTGGCACCGATTCCACGAGGAGGCCCACCCGCCGAAGGAGGCTTTCTACAGCAAACTCTCCGATGAAGGCATCACCGACGGCAACTACGCCCACGGAAAAAAAGTCTGGGACGCCTTCGGCTGTACAACCCTCGGCGACTAACACGACTTCTACTTTCGGACAGATGTCCTCCTCCTCGCTGACGTCTTCGAGAACTTCCGAAAGCTGTGCCTCGAGCGATACCGGCTAGACCCAGCCCACTATTACACGAGCCCGGGCCTAAGCTGGGACGCTCTCCTCAAGCACACAGGGGTTGAGCTCGAGCTGCTCACCAACATTGACATGCATCTCTTCATCGAGAAGTGCTTGCGTGGCGGAATCAACATGGCCAGCAGGCGCTTCGCCAAGGCCAACAACCCCAACGTGCCAGACTACGATCCAGGGAAGCCCCAAAGCTGGATCCAGTACTACGACGCCAACAACCTGTATGGCTGGGCGATGTCGCAGCCGCTGCCGATAGGTGCATTCGAGTGGGTCGCCCAAGAGGATGCAAATGCGGCCCTGAGCCAGCCTGTAGATGCAGAGAAGGGCTACATTCTCGAAGCCGATCTGGAGTACCCAGAAGAGCTGCACGACGAGCACAATGGATATCCGTTAGCGCCAGAACGCCTGAAGGTCGACAACGCGTGGATGTCGGATTACCATCTCCTCAAAACAGAAGGTCGACAACGCGTGGATGTCGGATTAAAATCTCCTCAAACAGATGTATGGGGGTGCGTCTCACAAGGTCGAAAAGCTGGTCCCCAATCTGCGCGACAAGACCCGATACGTCCTGCACTATCGGAATCTGCAGCTCTATCTGCAGCCATGCATGCGCCTGAAAAAGATCCACAGGGCACTCCGCTTCGATCAAAACCCATGGATGGGCCTTACATTCGGAAAAACACCGAACTCCGGAAGAAGGCAAAGAGTGACTTTGAAGTCAACCTCTACAAGCTGCTGAACAACAGCGTCTTCGGCAAGACGATGGAGAACCTCAGAAAGCGTGTCGATGTGAAGCTGCTCCGGCCAAGCGAGACCGAGAGACTCCGCAAACTTATCGCCAAGCCGACATTCAATCGGCATCTCATCTTTGGCGATGCGGGAGACCTCGCAGCCGTTCACATGAATAAAAGCAGTCTGCTGCTCAACCGAATGGTCTTCGTGGGCATGAGCGTTCTCGACCTCTCGAAGCATCTGATGTACGACTGGTACTACAACCATCTCAAGGCGCAGTACGTGTCGTCAGAAGAGCTCCTCTACACCGACACCGACAGCCTTGTGCTGGAGATCCAGACTGAGGACGTGTACGCCGACATGAGACAAACGCCGATCAGTACAACACCAGCAACTATCCCAAAGACCATCCGCTGTTCAGCACAGCCAACAAGAAGGTGCTGGGAAAATGAAGGACGAGTGCGCTGGGGCGCCTCTCGCCGAGTTTGTGGGACTCAGGCCAAAGATGTACTCTATCCTGAAAGCCGATGGTCTGGAGGAGCGCAAAGCCAAAGGTGCTAAAAAGGCCGTCGTGAAAAAGCATATCAGTTATGCCCAGTACAAAGAGGCGCTCCTCGAACCGCTTCCGCCACGGTATGGATATCCTGCGCAGTCGCGGGCATCAGATCTTCGGCGAGCATGTCAACAAGACATCGTTGAGCCCGTTGGACACAAAGCGCTAGATTGCGGCCGATAGGATCTCTACCCTAGCATACGGGAATATGGAAGCCGGGCCTCATTATACCGACTTGCTACGTCGACGACCGTCAATGCGTATTTGAATGTTCGTCTTCCGACTCGATCGTGAGGCAGATACAAGAGATCGGCCTGGTAGACCTCATTCGGGGTGCTGATGTCAAACTTATGTGGCCGCGCCAGTACCCCGCAGGACTGTAGTACACCTCTGCGAGGCGTTCCTCAACGCTTCCGTCCGTAGAAACGATTATTTTTCCTCCATTACGACGAGATTCACTTTGGGAAAGAAACCTAGAAACAGCACTACCACATACACCACAGCGCCCTGCAAGTCTGGGGCTGCCGTTATGATTTACAACTATACCACTTATAATTGGTTGCAGTCTTTTGCAACGTATACGAAACGCGACCGTCATTTTCGCTTGACTATGTGTTGTGTTTGATGTGTTGTGTTCACCAAGCTTTTCTGATCTTATCAATTTTATTCACGGCTTTGATTGCCAAATCAATTGGATTAATACCGAATGGAAGCGCACTATTCAAACCTCTTATTCTCCCTCCTTTTTTATCCAGAAGTTCACTTTTAGAAAGAAACTTGGAGACGCCTCTGTCACAGACTCGGCAGCGCCCCGTGAGCCTAGGTTGGCTTTTTGTATATTCGATTTTTCCTTTGACAACAGGTTGCCGTTTCTTACAGTACAAACAGTAAGCGATGGCCATCTCTAGATAATGCACAAAAATTTATTCTGATGTGAAAATACGTTCGTTATGCGCAGAAGGGCGCAAATCGAAATCTAACAGAATATCTGTCGCAGACCGATTGTGAACCCGATCGTGTAAGAAGAGAAGGCAGTACCACCCACACATAATGGAGCGCTGATCCTGTATCTCGTTGCAAGAATAGGGAACAACAAGTTTTGACCGTTCCATCCACTTTTTAACTACGTCAGGTGGTGGAAGGCCGAAACTGTCAAAGTAATCTACACAGTACTCATCAGCAAAGGCGCAAACCCAGTGAGACCACCTCCATCAAGAAAGTCTTGTAAGTTGATTATGACACTTTCTTCAGCTTTAAGAGGCTCTTTAGGAAGCATGTCTTTTGAGAACACCCCTCTAAAGCTTTTAGCTACTGCTTTTAAATTACCATTTACTATACGATTGATATCTTTGTTTGATAGCGGCTTCCACTTTCTCATCCGTGTCACCGCGTCCTGGGGAGGTATGCTCCTTCCCCCGACGTTCCAAATCCAAGGATTTTTCCTAGGACAGGCGCTACGATGGGAGCAGCTATACCTGCAATCATAGAAGCAAAGAATCCACCTTTTTGCGCGCGCGTCATGGCTGTAATCTGACTCTTAGACAATTTTAGATCGATTTCATATCCTTTGGGTCTGGCACCCATTATTCGCTTGATCTGTGTATTAGTAAGCATAAGCATATCAGGACCTTTAAGAGTGCTGTTGGTAATTCGCAAAGTTACTCCACTTTTGTCCCTAACTGCTTTTGCCAAGGTAGTTTTCTGATCTTTTGAAAATTTAACACCGTGAACTGTGTATCCAGAACGACCTTTCTTACCAGAGCTACTACCGAAACCAAGAATACTTTTACTATACTCAGGTCCATTAAATGGTGGGATACCTCTTCTTCTAACTATACCACTACCAGCTACTGCTTTTTGCGTGCTGCCGGTGATAGCACCTGATATAGCTGCTAGGCCTAGAGACGGTAACACTTTTGTTATGAGTTTAGTGACCGTAGGTATGACTTTTTCAACAAGATTTCCAATAAAGCTACCACCTTCTATACTTCTTGACCCAGGAAGATAAATACCAGCGCCTTTAAACTCCTGAGTGATTACTCGCTCTATGGCAGGTCTGAGAGCTTTAACACAAATATTGCGTTTATCAGTGTCCAACATTTTTGTGCACATGCAAAACAATTTGCGTATGTAAACAGTCGAAAAATTTTCGTTTTTGAAATTTATAATTAAATCTGGTGCGAAGTAATCGGATTAAACGTAACATATCATAGCAGACTAATCATCACATCAGACTAACAGACTAAACCATTATGTCCACTTTACCGTTAATCGCATTGAGCCAAAGGAAACGCTCGTTAAGCACGAAGTAGTACACGTGGTACGCCTGTTCACCACCAGCATCAATAGCACTATTAAAAGAGCTACCTAAGATCCAACGAACATTAATGTTTGCTGGAGCTTTTTTCAAAGCTTCAGGATGATGACTAACGTCAAAGTGGTAAATAGGAAAGAGGTTTGCGATGTTTCCTAAGTTTACTTGAGAGCCTGTATCCGGGTCGCTGTATTTCATCGCAGCGTCTTGGAACATTATGTAAGCTCTGTTGTAATTTCTTCAGCATCTGTGTAATTGACTTCAAATTCTTCTTAAGGATACTTGTGATTGTTATTAATTCACACATGAATCTGGCGCAAATTAGCATTATCAAACACATGTATAGTTTGTTCTTGATTGTCTGAGTGCTCTGCATCTTGGAACGCTACGAAGATGTGTGTTGGTAGCTCTTCACTTCCGTTTGTCGTCACACGCCATGAGACGTTGGTTTGACCTGTGGTGAATCTTTCTCGGTAAATACGACCTTGCTTAAAGTATAGCATGCGTGTGTAACCAGCAACCAACTTACTTTCTATCATGGTTTGAACTTCGATCGAAGGTCTGATGAAAGGAACCCAGAGTGAAAGATGTTTTATCAGAAATTTTCCAGCATCTACTCCATTTGCTCTATGAAGCGAGTTTTCAGCAGAAGCGCGAGTGAGATTCAGATTGAACTTTATACCTATGAAAGCTGAATCAATGTCTTTGGCGTAGCCTAGGATGTCAGCGAGGGGAAGCATCATGGTAACGTCTTTGGCGCCCGCGCAGAGCTGGCGGCGACTGGCGAAACCAATGTTGAAGTTAGGGTTCTCTGTTGCGTTGAGGCTTAAGTTAAAGTTAGCCCGGAAGTTGCCGCTATTCAAAGCGACACCGTTACCTACATTAGCAGCAGGAAGCAACTGAGCGTTAGTTCTGTTTACATGCTTATTAGAAACAGTCCCACCGGTAGCTCCAGTGTCGCAGTACCAGAAAGCACTCGTGGCGGTGCTCCTGGACGAATCATCCGAATCAGTTACAAGCTTCATGATTGTGTTGACAGTTGAAGCATACTGACTTATTTCTTCAACGGTCTTGTTGTTAACCTGGATCTGGACCGTCTCAAATAGGCATTTTCCAGAGCGACATTGTTGGCGGCATCATAATTGGTGTTATCGTTCTTTACCACGCGACCTCGAACTTCAAGAAGGGCTCTGTGAAGCCATATAAGCTGGTCAACGTTCTCAGTGTCGATATTGATATTCTTATTATCGAAATTTGGATCGCGGGGAAGAACTCTTTCGTATTGCAGACGCTCAACAGAGCGGTCAACGATGGGCTCGTCAAAGAGTCGAAGTGCTGGGAGTATCATGTCCGTAGCCATTGTTATGATAGTTTGTACTTCGTACAGTATATATATATTATAAAAAATTTGCGTCTGCCAATCGTCAGACCGATGTAGTTTAATTATTATTTCTGATGTTTAGTCCGATGTGATATTTAGTCTGATGTGATATTTAGGCATACATCATGCCGTTACCTGACACGAGGTTGCTTAGAATACCTAAGTCTTGAGAAGTCAGCTGTTGCTTAGCAAGGCTTTCAGCGCGCGATACTAGAGCTTTTCTAGCTTCAGAATTCCCAACCAGCTCATTAAGTTTAGCTCTAGCTTCTTTCGTTAAAGCAGTGCGAGCACTTTTTGCGCGTGTTTTTGCAGTACTAATACCAGCTTCAGGCCCAGCACGAGCCACTGCAGATGCACGTGATTTAGCTTTTCTTGCCACTCCTTTAACGTCTCCGCGGGCGAGATCGGCAACAAGACTGCTTACGTTTTCAGGCGAGAACTGCTCTTTTGCAGTCGATATAACAGCCTCTTTGACTGCTGTAGCCGTATCACGAATTTCTTTTTTGTTAGCCGCCACGGTCACATTCTTGATTTTTGGAGCAAACTTACCTACGAGAGATCCTTAGGCTGCAGCTGCGGACTTCTTCGCACTGAATAGCGCACCCTTTGCCTTACCAGCAAGGCCCACGAGGTTTCCAATCAATGACCCCCTGACAATTTTTCGACGAACTATAACACGTCTAATCATAGGAGCTATCATATTGCCTAGTGTATATTATATATGGAAAATAAGCCATTATGGCAACAGCTTCTGAATCGGAATCTGCTTATGAGCGTGTATAATCACATTTTTGGACGGATGTTTAAATTGTAAGTTACTTGATCACCATTTAAATCAATTTTATTTCCTGAGTGATCAGTGATTTCCATTCTCACTTTATTAATAAGGCTAGTTTTTATGAGTGGTAAGTAGATCGGTGGACTAGGACTTATTTCCAACAAACGCCCTGGTCCTCGGTTTGGAGTAAACGATTTAATAACATCACTAGGATTCCCGTTTACTATACTTGAATTAACAAGCGAGCAGTGAATGTGGATCTTCTGTACATCTGTAATGTTAATTCGATTCTGACTTAAAGTCTTTCTTCTAATAATATCAACTCCACCCACAGCAAACCCAAGAATAGTGCCTATGCTGTTATCTATGTCAAAGGAAACTACAAGGTCACCTTTAATAGTAATCTCAGATTTAGATGTGGGAACATTTACTGAAAGCACAAAGGGTGGATCTCGTCTTGCGATCTCATCTTCATGTGCGAACTTTACCCCAATGCTTCCATAGCATTTTCAATAGCTTGATTGATGTCGGGAAAATTGTAAGCGCATGGGGGTATTGTGATTTTTGCCGTTTAATTGGAGTCTGTTTAAGCTCTCCTCTCTGTGCACCATCAATATCACCATAGTTTCCATTTCTAATCTCAAACTCAAGTTGATTGTTTTTAGTAGTGACATTTTCCCACGAATTCCACAAACTAGCTTCAGTAAGAGCCACTTGATATTTTTGTTAGCCTCTAAAGGTATAGGTGGCCTAAAGCCAATTTGAAAGTCATTCGCTTCTCCACCGTACGCCGCAATGGCTCTTGTTGAGTCTATCTCAATGCTGATTTCGTCTTCTAATACTCCAGCCATTATGGTTATATTGATAACACTAAACGTAACATCAGACTAAGCAATAGCTCTGTATAATATATAAGGAGAAATTTTAACGCACGTATGTATTTCTAATTTTTCGGTAATAACTTTTTGATATCGCACTTTCGTCTAGCAGTTTTGTTAGAATCGCTTCAATATCGTTCTTCAACTCACGAGAGTCATTACCAGCCTCTACAGACTTGCAGGAAAGGTGAAGGCGGTCGATAAGCTCTGATGGGCTATTATAATAGTGCACTCCAGTTCCTGTTCGTGTTGTTTTAAAGAGTTGTTTGGGGCGACTTCTTCTTTTTCTTTAGAACATTGTAACGTTCGAGGGGTTTTTTACCAAGCTCTCGGTTAGCTGGAGAAGCGGTTCTTCTTGTAGACGGGTCTATAGATTTTCCAAGATTTTCAAAATCTACGTCGTTTATACACTCACCAGCCTCCAACCGATCAAGCAAATTTTAATTCTCTATAGCCTTCCAAGATGGTTTGTCTTTTGTTAAAAGGACTAGATCATCTAGCCGTTGGGCAAGCTATCAATAAGCCTTCAATTTCTTTGTCTTGTTTTTTGTTAATAGCTTCTGCTACAGATTTTTCAGCATTAACAATTGGTTCAGACGCCCTTTCAAAGAATTCTCCTTCGTGCTCTCGAGACACTTTGAAATCGACTTGGCGCCGCTTGAGTTCCGCGCGGTTTTTTACACACTCTTGGACTTGCTGAGAAATACTCTTTGATTGGGTTTAAGGTTTTTGAATCGAGCCGAATATCGTCAAAGACTACTGTCTCGGGATTAGTGTCCAACTCCTCTACTGGAATTACATCATCAGGCTCTCTTAATTCAACACATTGTTCCAGACCAGCGCTTTCGCAGAACTCTGATAGAATCTGATATTTTTCCTGGTCGCGACTTGTTGTGTGAATAGTTAATTCAGGGCAATCAAGGCAACGCATAAACATGTTAATTAAAAGGTTCGTTTTGTCGGAATTAGTAGGGCCTACGATAAGATAATGGCTTTTGAGCATCATCCAATGGTGGCGCTTTGATTTTTTAGCGGTCAGTAGGTCGAAATTTATGAGCGCCATGTCAAATCCGACTAATCATATCACATCAGACCAATCATCAAACTAATCATCAAACTAATTATCATATAATAACAGACCAATTTTTTTTCTGCATCTATATAGTACTGCCATAAAATGGCAACTGCAAGCGCACCTCCAGTCGAGCCAGTAGACGTTCCTAGGCCAGTACCACGGATACATCCGGATTTAAAACGTGAATATGAATACCAAGGGGTAGAAGACGTCCTTTCACCCCGTTCATCAGTCGAAACGAGCAACATTTCAAACATTGAGGCAGAGCTCCGCCAAGAGCGTGACGCTCGTCATAAGCTGCGTAAGAAATACACACACATTATTTCGACACTCGACACCTTATCTGCTGCATCGAGTGCCTTTACAGTCGTGACAGGAACTGGAGGTATTGCTCTCACTCTATCTGGTGTGGGCGCCCGGCTGGGGCCGCTCTTGAAGCTCTTGCTGTCGCTGGCGGGTTGATATCAGGTGTTGGGCGTTTTGTTTGTAAAAAGCTCGAGAAAAAGGCTAAAAAGCACGACCGCATAGCCCAAGCTGCTGCGACGATTCTGATGACTGTTAGTGATATTCGTCACGTGCTCTCAGTGACAGCCGAGTCTCACATGAAGAGTTTGAACCGCTTCTAGATCAAATGCGGCGTTTTAATTAGCGTAAACGCGTCTATTCAAGATGAATTCGACGCTCTGATGCGTAAGAAACAGGCTGCCTATGTAGCTTCTCTACTCAAAGAGATAAAAAAGACAAATGAAAACTTAGAGCGTGAAAAAGAAGAAGCTGTTGCCGCCGCTGCTGTAAGCGCACGCCGTAAAGGTGAAGCTCAAGCTTTCAAAAAAATCGCGGGTCTGGCTGGAGGCTCGTCATAGATTTCTCTCGCGGTCAAATATAAGTCCAGTAAATAAAAAAACTTTTCTATTATTTATAGTAGGTATATAAACGTCGCATCAAACTAATGGCAACTTTAGTAATCGGTGGAACTGTTGATGGTTATGGATCTGGAAAACCAGGACCACCAGGGCATAGAGGCCCAAGAGGAGCTAAAGGAGATAAAGGTGACACAGGAGCTGCGGGGGCTCAAGGAGATACGGGTCTTAGAGGACCAAAGGGAGAAAAAGGTGATACAGGAGCTACAGGAGCTCAAGGAGCTAAGGGAGATAAAGGTGACCCTGGGGACAGAGAGCCCAAAGGAGAGACAGGACCTCGAGGGCTTAAAGGGGATAACGGAACTGATAACCTAATGGAAGCGATTATGCGCCCGGGCCCGCAGGAGCTCAAGGGTCTCAAGGACCTAAAGGACCTCAGGGACTTCAAGGACCTCAAGGTCTAACAGGTACTAAAAGAGTATCGGGGTCTATAAGGGCTGCAGGACCTCGAGGGCCTAAAGGAGATACTGAAGCCACAGGACCGCAAGGGCCTAAAGGAGATACTGGAGCCACAGGGCCTCAGGGGCCTTCAGGACGTCAAGGACGTCAAGGACAACCAGGAGCTGATGGGCTTAAAGGAGACCAAGGAGATCAACCGGTTTTAAACTCTCCTACTGGATTCTACCCCCAGGTATGAGCAGAGTAAATGTAACTTTAGTAACGTTTCCTACTGGAAAAACACTTGGAAATAATAAAATAGCATTATTAAATATTTTGTTTGAACGATCTCGAAACGAGTGGTTTAATATTAGATCCAACATATTTCAAAAAAGTTGGGGGCCCTATGTTAGTTTCGTACATAACAACACTAATAATCTTAAAGCGTGCATGGGTTAATACAATACCTGTTAACTGGACGCGAAAATATCAAGTACATTATTTAGAATATTCTTAATAGACTAACAAAAATTTTTATAATATATATAGAATTACAATGTCTAACGCATCTGAGACTTCGGTTCATGAATTTGAATCAACAAACGATCTCTTTCGCCAAGCAGTAGAAGTATACTTACGACAAAATACTGAGAAAATTTTGAAAAATTCCAACTACAATATAATTCTAAAGCTGGAAAAATAGTCATATCTTCTTGGAACTATTCAGACGTAGATAAACCTACGCGTGAGGCTCTCGAAGCTTTGCTACGTCCGGCAAAAATACACCACGCCCGTGGTGTAAAACATCATAGAAGACATGAAAAACATAAAAACGACTAGAAATTCCAGTAGATGTGTACACTCAAGTTGGTACTTCAGTCACTGGAAAAAGAGGTTCAGATTGGACCAATGTTGCGATGTGTGAAAAGGTAAAGAAGATTCTTCTGCAATCACCATCGAAACCGCTGGATTCTACCGAATATCATTAAGTGGAAAATGTTTTACAAGTGCAGGAGAGCTACAAGTACTTCAAATTCCTAGCAAATTACTTGTCTTAAGTAAAACAAAAACACATCGTATTGGTGATATCAACTCTGAATGTAGCTATAGCGATTTTATAGATGTAGACTTACCTGCTGATGCAACATTAGTTGTTCAACACATGGGAACTGCCAAAGTAATTATGACACTCATTATAGAAAGTATAATACCCGAATCTTCAACGATTATTTGATGAAGATTTGCTACACGAAGCGCTAGATGATTCAGAAGGCTTTCCTTCATTATCTAGAACTGAATAAGAACACTTCACGTTTGGCAAAGGGGGTGAACCGGCCGCCGGAGTTTCAGTTTTTGGAGGAATTGCACTTAGAAACTGAAGTGCGTTATAGCGTATTAACGCTGGGTCGCTCATATTTCCATACGCAGCTTCCCAACCTACAGAATTTGTCATAACTGGCGGTCTAATTTCTATTACGTCATTAGGCTTAATAGGTCTGCGCTTACATGGTACCGAAGGAGGTTCAGGTGGAGCTGTATTAGTACGGTTTCTTGATGTAGTGGTTGGAAAGCTTCAAGAAATGAGTTTAGAGCTCTTCCACTTATAAAACCCTCTTTATATAGTAGCAGAATCTCTCTAACAGTGTCCATCTCGATTCTATATACTATATAAATATTATTCTTCAGATTGTATCGTACCTGTCTGTATTTGCAGCCTGGTTTGTAATTTAAGATGTTCTTCTCTTTGTCTTATTATTATATTATTCAATTTTTTCTCGCTTTCTCTTCTTTCTTTTTGCTCTTGTCTTTTCATACGTACTCTTTTGGATTCACTATTCATCTTACCACGTACCCTACTATACGCTACTTCTAAATAATAGACCCCGACGGCCGGCCGCGCGGGCTGAACTTAACTTTGTTATTAGTTCCACAATAAACTCATAATAATTTCACGTACTATCCGAATGTTATTGTCGAATCACGAATAACTTAATAATAGGGAAACTCTTTGCAATTAGAGTGAAGCTCGCATTGTTCATGACTTTTAAAACGCATTTGTTCTGCATTAAATTTGTTAGTCAATCTACCTATATATAAACACACCAAGCTTTATACGGCCACGATTCCGAGGAATTCATCACAATGAACTTTATCAAATTGTAGTCATATTCTATAAATAGCCTCGAATTAAGTCATTTCTAAAGTTCTACGTTAAATGGATAAGTTGTAGTGTGTTGAAGTCAGACGATGACGGTTCATATTTAAATTTTAAAATGACATTTGTTCATAAATTAGATGAATATTAATAATTGATTTCCTGCAATAGCAGCAATTAACCAAAAGGCAGTTGCGTCTCATCATGTTTGGCATCCAATCATGATTTGCATTAAAAGAAGTTTTGCACCGAACGCCACATACAAGGTGAATCAAATACATTAACCGGTGTATAAGATCTCAAGTGTTGTCTTTGTAAAAGGACATAATCATTAATCAGCACTCCAATTTCACGTATAATATGCATTTATTTAATAATGTAGCAAAGATACAAACATTCCGAGCTATATAACAATACGATATGAACATGAAGAAATATAAAAAAATTTACATCGTCTACTGACATATACTCAAAAGAAAAGGCAGCTGTTAGAATGTTAGAGCATTCCTTGAAGAGGGATGAAAAACTTACTGCTGTGAAACCTCTATATTTAGAGTGCGGACTATGACTTCAGCAAACTTTACGATTATTTAAGGTTGCTAAGCAAATATTTAAACAACATTCACACGTGAGAGAACCAATGACTGTCTTTGCAAGGATCGTGCTTTGAAATTATCACGAAAAATTTCCAACAACGGAAAAAATGAGCGACTTACTCGAGAAATTTCTTAAAACTTTATCCAGCAAAAATTAAGAAACACACACCCAAATTTTTTCGTCTTTGTATTAGCTACAATTTTATACAGCAAAAAGAAAAACATTAGATTAAGTGGCTTATTTAACTTCATAGCAGCTGACCCTCACTTTTACAGCGTCGTTGGTCCTAGATAAGCATAAAAAAGCGTGTACGGGACGCTTTATTTTCAAATAAGATACATGAACGTTTAATGAGGAAAGTATGACGTTTCCATGGTAAATAGAGATCGAAGGTATATCATTGAACTGCATATAACTGGAGTGAAAGCTACTTCCCGCCAAAATTGAAAACCCCAAGCAACTAAATTAGTTTCGAGTTCCAATCTTTCCACGCACGGCCAAAAAATTTTCTTTTGCGACAGTAAACTAAAATGAGTGACATTACCGTGGGACAAGCGTGTTCGCCCGGTAAAATTTTGTTTCGTGCAACTAGAGGCATGTTTATATAAAAGTAGCGTTTCCGTTACATATATAGTTCAATGAAGAAAATAAGTTTCTTGCATAACGCGGAAGTGTGCAAAACCAGTGCATAAACGATGTAGTATACAATGTAAACAATTTTCCAAATAACTAATTTGTTGGATACATAGAAAAGAATTTCCCATCGTATTCGCGCAGGAATTGTCAGAAATTCAAAACTACGAACGTCTTCAGTATGAAAAATAGCACGGTAAATATATAGCATACAGTAAACACTAACTACTAAAGGTTACAGATGTTTGAGATTGTGATAAACCATAGCGGTTATGATCAATTACCATTTCTATCGATCAATGGCATGTCGCCACGTCGATCGCGCTGCGGAATGCTGGTGGGAGTAACTTTCCTCAAGCAGAAGATCAAGAGAACGATAAAAACGACCCACAACATGGCTCCAAGCATAATTGCCCACCAATACTTTCTCGTGATTGTTTTCACATCTAAATAAATAATTGTGACAGTGAATAGAGAACAACAAACCTTGTTCACAGTCTGTGCGCGACTGTAACAATTGATACTGAACAAATTTCACGATCTCTGCATGGCGAAGACTTACAAATGAGAATGGGCACAACCTCTGAAAGCGAGATCATTGATACGTGCATAATACATGCATTAGCATATTTTTTACAGGAATGGTGCTGAAAATTCTAGGGTCGCGAGCTGATAAGGAAGTGACGTAACACAAAGTAAGGGGAGTAGCGTAAACAGTTAAAACATTGCTTTGAAAAACTCAGTTCAGCTGTACTACCATTTTGTTTTGTCAAAAGTTAGGAGAGTTAACAATTTATTTAAGGGGGTTAAATTTGATATTTGCAAGGTGACCACCCCCGAAACACACACACACAGAGAAAATCCGCCCACGTTACATTACATCGATCGCGCATCCCAAACTAAATTTGAAACTAAAACTAAAAAAATTTTGAACAATCCCAATTTACTACGTTGACGCAATGTTTATTAATTGAAAATTCTGAAAAGGTGTTTGCCATTTTGCTGTAACAGAAATGCGACGTTTCAATTGCACGAAGCCAAGTGCAGAATGTTGTTTAGCAAACGTTTTTTTGAGAATGCGTTGAATATATTGTCTCTCAAGATCTTACGGTTTGTGTTCATGGCTTAGGCCTTCTTTGTCTCTCTTGTACTTCGAATTTCATCGCTACTGCTGCAATTATCACTTCTTTAGAACAAATTTCTCATTTGCGCGGGACTGTTCAATACATCGCTGCATCTCATTAGTAGGCTACAAATTTTAGGATACGCCGCATTAAAAATGCGAAATCCAGGTAATTTACGTATAAATATACAGCATGACCAACGCAAACAGCACATTGGTCAATATGTTTTCATAACAATTCTGATAATTAACATTATGTGTCAAATCCAGCCTAATTTGTGTGACAGCTTGTATTCACACTGTTTTCGTCCTAACGACACTTTGCAACACAGTTTGGTTTGGAAGATAATTGAGGCAAAATATTCCGTACTTTCAAAAGAAAGCTTGTGTGAGCAAGCAGTTCCTCAAGGGACTTTTGGCCACAACAAGTTGTCCAAAATTAGATGTTGCGGAAGCCAATTTGGGTTACAGGAAAAAACCATGTTTGCGGTAACCTGGCCTCGGTGTACGCAAATTTTTCAAGGATGTTTCAGCAATAAAGTGGACGCACTAACTAAAAATGGACGCACTAACTGCACACCAGTAAAGTTCTAAAAACCTGACAACGTGTTGCGAAACTTTTAAGATATTTAATACTCAATGCTGTTGGAAAGTAGCAAACGACGGAAACCGTTTAAACATTCAAGACAAACGGGCTCATTTAAACATTGCTGCACTCTATAATTATCTGCTATGACCATATCACGGTCTTGATTACACAACTAGAGTATTTTTACAAAACTGGTGAGTTCAAAAGAAATTAAATTAGATTACTGCAGTACTATCTTTGTAGTAACGCAGCGTAAGCCAAGTTTTGTTGTCCCAATTTTGTATAGAGTCAACTCTTAATTGACCGCGTTCAAAAATCACATGCTTAACATCAGAAATGAAGAAAACATGATAAAGTTTTCTCGAACAATTTTGTTATGGCAGATAATGGGTAAGAACTGCTGCCCAACTGATGATTCTCGTCATCTTTTGGAGTAGATGAATAATAAATTATAGTGTTAGTTACCTTCTCGTTTGAAGTACAAATCACCGATATCTGAGAGTGGCTTGCGATAATCAACCCGCAGACAAACGTGGAATAAATCGCAGAATCCTGTGTCGTTAAGGCATGGTGCTCCCGTTGGCAGTGTCGGCTTTCGAAATCCTGTTACCTAGGATACAGTAAAAAAGCGTTGATGCGATGAGCTGCAATGCAGACATAGCGCAAAATTGTATTTGAATATCGAGAGTGAATTTTGACTTCTTTGCTTTCCGAACTTCCACTTATAGCCCTTCATCCCAACATACATAAAAATATACACAACCCACCATACGTAACAATATACACAACCCACCATACATTAGGATATACACATTCCACCATACATAAGAATATAAATTCCACCATACATAAGAATATATACATCCCACCATAAAAGTCATTATCAAGCTGAGCATGATCCAGTTGTCAAGGTAATGCTTTAAGCAATGAAAAGAACGAACGTTGGACGGTGTTACTGTTCACAATTAGATTAAGGGGTTAAGAAAAAATAACAAGTCCTATAGAACTTGTTATTTTACTTAAGATCGTTTAAGCCTATTTCATATATAGTTGTAACTGTTTTAATTTTACAGGCAATACCTGTCAACCGATACACAACAGTGCACTGCACGTTGATATATAGAGCTGTAATCACGGTAAATAGGGAGATATTTGCAGTCAGTAACGAGATCTCGCGAGGATTCTCGTCACTTATATTTAATAAAATACGCCAGGATAAATTTTTCGTGACCAGCTTTCTCCATAACAAGATTTGGCTGAGGATTTTAATCATGGTTATATAAGATGAGTTGCCTTCGCCATTTACGCGTTCACATATGAATTTCTTACGTCGGCGACTGTTGTCTGTAGTACTTGTTGTAAAAGTTGAACGGGTTTAACTTCTACAACAGTTCCCGATTTTTCGGCGATTAAATTGCAAGAATTACAAAGCGCGTTTACATATAGTTGTAATTGTTGTAAACCTTCATCGCCGATAGAATTACCGCCACAATTACAACTGTATGTGAGCTATACTTTAGTAAAGTTTATTTAGCATCACGCGTGCTGGTAGATAATCACTTGGCTTGATAATGACTTTGAAATAAAGTCGAAATATCGCTTTGAATCTTAACTCTCGCCAATACAACTCAAATCTCAAGTTTTTACGAGGCGATGCTATTAGGAGAATGTTTTATCATTAACTTCTTCAAATTTTAAGCCGGAAAAGGTTTTCATGAACAAAACCTACCTGGGGAATATTTAATGCTGGAACACATCTACCGAGGAAGTTACAGCAGACGTAACACTCATATTTTTTACTTGAGCATTGACATTCGGTAAGGCCATAACGCCGACAAACCGAATTCGAACATATTCCGTCTATGCATACTTGGGACTGGGTGGCGCAGGGCTTGAAGTCCCATTTCTTTCCACGACCTGGACACTGGTAGTTGTCAAATCCACGCAAGTTACGACAACGCGACGGATGCGCACATTCGTCACCAGGACGACATAAATAATTCGAACTCCTGTGACTGCAAGTCTTTGGGTCGCAACAGGGACCTAAAAGATAGTGGGAAAACGTATCACACAATTCCAGAAATTATGTCTATTTCTAATAATTTCATCAACCACAAAAGGAAAACGAAGCGTAGAATCGACAATCCAGAATAACATACTTGCGAATGATTTGCTCGGCTAACTATATACGCGGTGCTTACAAAACCTGAATCGAATTTTAACAGAGAATCGTGCATTCCATATAGTATTTTTCGCTGAAACTTTTACATAGCAAAAAAGATGAGCTTTTTAGCTTTCCAGTGCTAGGTTTTTCTTGTCGTAACAAGCAGAAATGATCAAGTTACTCTTTAAACAAAAATTGCGAGCCAAAATTGCCTTTTTCCACAGCTAAGGAGTAAATACAATGAATGAACATTGTTCATCGTATGATACAACACAGGGAAAAACCCGCTGTTTCATTTGCTTTTGTTTGAAAAGGTAGTGAAACCTCATTCACTGCACTCAATTTCCAACGGTGGAAAAATGCAAGCCTTTGTAAAGACGTTAAGACGTTTTACATACGGGACTTTTTAAAGTATAAGGGATGTCCAGTCAATGCAAAAGGGGCAGATCCAGCGATAGGCAAAATAAATTACTTCAACACATCGATTGGTTATTTTTCATTCTACAAAGCTAGGTTTTATCTAATAAAGGTACATCTTTTGAATATAAAATTTGCGGTAATAATTTCTTTTGCCTAACCATGGACCCGATAGCGTAATGCAAAACCGTTTCATACAGTGGTTACTCACCGTCGTTCACGCTACAATAGGAGCCTGCTTTGAGTTTACATGTCGAGGGATCGCAGCATTCCCCCGGGTCGTTTAGTTTGCATTGCTCGGGCGTTCCGCAGTCACACTGCTCCTGGTTCTGACGTACGGTATCACCGCATCTTGGACGTCGATCGGTGATCTTCTTGGGCGTTTCCAAGCATTTAAGCTCGAAGAATTCATTCGCATCTGCTCTAACGGGACGGTCAACTTTGCTGGACTTGAGGGTTGCAACGATCGCACGGATGCTACACGGTGAGAATTTGTCGTTGTTTTACGGCCACCAATCGAAGCCGAATTAGACATTATGTATGTGCCACCATTGAATGGGCTCGGCTGACACTCGGGTGGATCGTACTGAAAACAAAAAATGCTAGTTGCGAGAAGAAACTTCTTCATATTATTTAAGAATGTAAACGAGGTGCTTCAAAACAACAACTATTTAAAATAACGACAATAAAACGCATGTACTGATTGCTCAATAGCTGAGTTTGTGGAAATTCGATCCGAGCTGGTCCTCAACAGCGACATAAACATAAACATAAATGTCCACTTGCAATAAACTGCAATAAGCACAAACATAAGCATAAATACGCGTAAGAAGAACGAAGAGTTTTGATAATCTTGTGATTATGCTTTTGCTTATGTCGCAAGTGAGGACCAACTCGAACATTAGGGATTAGGTTCGCGTATTATTGCCCTTTTCAATTCACAATTGAAGGAATTCATAACAAGAGCCTGTACTTACAGGAGCACCAAAAGCTCTGCCAACTTGCCGTAGGAAAGCTAATTCTGCAACTTTAGGAGGCGCCATTTTGCCGAAAAACTTATACGAGATCACGGCGGAGTTGTAACTTTTCAACTTCCGAACATTGAAATTTTCATAGTTGAGAATAAAGTAGCGTCTGTATTCGCAAATTCCTCCTTGATCATCACTCTGGTTTCTGCCGTCAGATGGGCCCCAGGATAATCCTATAATAGAAGACAAACACTCATAGACAAGAGTACAACGTTTCTTCTTAAAGCAAGTTTAAATCATGGAGCGATCAGAAGACAGGCAATTCCGTTCAACATTTATGACTATTTTTCTTACTGATACTGTTTCGGATACTTTAGCACTACATATTACAAACACGCGTTATTGGCAGTAATATTTAGGCTAACAGAGCATTGAGGCTGTATCGAACACCATGATGTGGTAGTAGAAGGACACGGTGTGGTAGAAAGAGCATAATGTGATAGAAAGAGCACCGTGTGGAAGAAAGGGTAAGGAGTGGTAGAAAGGGCAGGGTGTGGTAGAAACAACACCATGTGGTAGAAAGAGCAAGGTGTGGTAGAAAGAGCAAGGTGTGGTAGAAAAGGCACGGTGTGATACAAAGGGCACAGTGTGGTACAAGAGGTGGTGGAAAGAGCACAGTGTATTAGAAAAGCACGGTAGGGTAGAAAAAGCACGCTGCAGTTGAATGAGCACGGCTTGGTTGGAAACGATGCACGACCACGAAAGATGATAGCCTGCCCCTTAAAGAACACGCGAAAGATATTAAGGCTATACCTTCTGAGGCAATAATACAACGACGCATAAAGAAATAGATTTCAAATGTTGCCTTTCTGGCAAAAAAGTCACGATTGAACGTGACTAACGTCAGAAGGCTAAATTAAGAAAAAAGGAAAGAGGAATTGGGCTGTTGCAAATTAGAGTGAGGTTTCTTTTCTAGAAAATTTTACACCATTTCATGGTTTCATCAGCAGACAAGACTTTGTTTACCAGCAAGATTTAGCAATTGTACACAATGCTACATGAAGAACATTTGGGGGTTGCTTCAATGGCAAACCAGTTCACTACATCTCAATCTCATCGAAAACTTTGTAGAAGAATGAAAAAACAGTATTTGAAGCTTATATGTACATCTCAACAATATTGATGTGTTGAAAACAGTCAGTCTTCAATAACAACTCAACAGGAACATAGACTAGTTCTCTCATTATCACAGCACCTCAATGCAGTTTGAGCTAAAGGTCTCTGACTGCCCTATCAGAAATGGGTTTAGGGGCGGGAGGTGTAAAGCACACTCCTAGCCTTAACTAGATTGAGTCCAGGAAGGATTCATGTTTCCCTACAAAATACTAACATACCAGTTATAAATACAAAACAAATAAAAATAAATTAAAGCAAATAAAAATAAATTAAATGTATCACAGTGTATATTGACCTTAGATGTTAACTTTACTACAAGTTTTTTACCATATGTGTAAGTGATGTAACAAAGAACAATAACATGTTATTGTTTCACTAAATAGCCTAATTTCATATTGGATGATTCTTGTTATGGTTGTGGGAAGATGATTCATAAGATCAAACAATGGTAGCATTAATGAAATCATAGTCCATCAATGAGCAGTTACATAAGCAGTGTCACCTGTTGACAGTGTGCAAATAAGTTCAGAAAAAACGATGTGCAATTTTTTTGACAAGTGTTTCTTTACAGGCATAATCAAATTGATATTACGTTCATTATTACATAGCGCTTATTGCTAAATTAATATTTTTAAAGTGAACTAATTCATATGATTTACGATAGTGTTTTTCGTTAAAACCGCTGATTTTTGCACATCCTTTCAAAAAGTGATGTGCAATTGTTCTCATTTCAGATGTGCAAATTGCACATTGCACACTGTCAATTCGCACACTGCCTGTTGAAGCTTTGACTTATAAAGATTAAAGTCACTATCTATAAAATTTGATTAATGGAATTTATTTTGGTACAAGTACCAATGAATGTTTGTGTTTGCACTCTGATCTTGTATCAAAGAAAAAAAACTAGTAATACCTATCACTTGGCATTAACTTTGACAAACCCTTCAGCTAATGAGCAGTAGCAGAAAAATACATGTTTCATTTGTTCAGAAGTCAGTTTCCACTCAAATAGATAACGTCATTTAGCAGCACAAGATCGCAATTGACTTAAGTTTTAACAAACAACATGGGCTGGTTTCTTTTTTGTATATTTAAACATGCTTTGTGTTTAGAGGTACCCTGGTACAAATCCTGACTCAGATCTTGAAGGGATCTTCGTAAGTTTTAATTAACACAAAATCCTAAAGGATACTATTGGGATCTCACATAAGATCCCACAAGATCTTCAAGAATCTAAACAAATATGTCATTAAATACATAAAAAATATCCAGGGTGTGCAAAAACCATACTTATCAGGCTTTTCTTACTGGATAGACAATATTTGAGAAGGTATTTCATATCTAACATCACCTGTTAATCCACCCTCGAAATCTCGATATGTAAGGAAAAACGCCTGGCAATATTCTTCATAATTGCGGTCTGACACGAAATCAAGGAAAGTTGCAAGGCCCATGCTTGGTGGTCTTAATTCTTTGGGAGTTGTGTCATAGGTGTATGCAGTGATGAAACCAATCATTAGCCGTACATTAAATGGGGCATTTTCCACCCAATACTGATCATTAGCCATTTCGGCAAACTTTCGATTTGCCAACCGAACCAGATAGACCATTTCACCAATCGCTCTACCAGTGTCGTTGCCCCAAGCTTCTGTGAACAAGTAGTCTGCCTCCATCGAAATGTTACAAACCTTCAATCTTTGATCATTTATGACTTTTTGATCGTACAAGTTAAAATCATCTGGCTCGTCGAATTCGTTCGTCTCCCTGCGACGTCTTTTCGAGCGATACTTAATATCGGAAAATATATTTCTCTTTCGTCTAACGCTCTCGTCCTCATCTTCAGCACGAAAATGACAGAATGAAAGTCTTGTGGTTTATCAAAATACGCGTTGGCAGGTCTGACAGTATATTCACCATCCTTCGCGAATATCGTCCCTTCAAAGATTCCATTACGTATCGAACCGAAAGCTTCGGAGTCTGGTTCACCTTCGAGATAGCCAGCCAAAGCAGAATTTACGTGGTCTTTGACTTGGTCGTTCACTCGTTTGTTGGTGTACAAACCTGGGTGAAATGTGTCGCTGTCTGGCTCTAAACGCAGTTTGAATTCCCTTCCGTGGGCTTTAAAATCCAAGAACTTTGTGTTTAGTCCGTTTTTAAATGCTTCTCTTATATCAGTTTCGGCATAGTTTAGCGGTTCGTAATGACGAATGAACTTGTTCAAAGGCTTTCTTTGCCTTTCACTCAAAGTTCTAAACACAAGAGAAGAAACGATAAGTAAGCAACTCCAGCCTTTCATCGCTATGTTGTCTTCCCAACAGAGCCAGAAGTAATTCACGAAGCGATCGAATTTCTCGATAAAATGCGAAAAATCAAAATATAGGTTCTTTATGTTAAATGATAAACGTTGTGAAAATTTGAGAATGGAATGTCGAAACTCGTAACACGGTATTAGCAATGTAAATATGCTCGAGAATGCGAGTGACGTTCGCCCATGTAATACCGGGGGGAGTGTGTTGATATGACGTCACATGGTCAAATATTTAACTAATAGATAACATTTAACCGTTGTCAATATAGTTATAGATCATTGAACTAAAATAAATGGAACGCTACCTGTAATACAAAAAACCCTAATAATTTTTTGAAGCTGCTATTTTGACCCAGACACGCGAGATTTTACCACAGACCCGCGTGTGAAGTCAATGAATTATTAGTTCGCAAGAGAATCTCGAAACGCTTCGCACGCGTGTTTTATAGGTTATAGCATGGTTTCGAGTGCAATTTGGAAAAAACGTAACATGCACGAGTGAGTTTTTCAAAGACTATCAAATTGTTTTACAAATTGCACGAGAAACCATGCTATTACTTATTAATAATATACATGAAAAATTTCTGAATTCTGTTCATTTTTAACTTCAGCGTACGCACATTAATTTAGCCGTCGATCGACCGGCTCGTATTTTTCAATTCCGTCGGATATTACTTTTCACAATACCATAGCTTCCACACACGCAGCTTGAACAAGGTATCTACTTTTAGCAGTTTTGTTATTTTCATCCAGAAACACTTTGCAAACGGTGAACTGTAAAGTTGTTCGCTAAAGAAAATTTTCTTAAAAGTGGTTATTCAACGAACTTTTTGCTATGCTTTTTGTTAGCTTATTGAAATATTTGGCTTTTATAAACCAGCACTCGGATCAAAATGCTCATTTCTAAATAATCAATTGATCATTTATATAGAAGCATTTCATGACACTACTTCTTTACAAAGAGGCATTTGTTAAGCATTAATAATCATCATCATTAACATTATCATTATAATTATCGTCATCATTACTTTCATCATCATTATCATTATCACCATCATTTACATCATCATCATCATTATCATTATCATCATCATCATCATCATCATCATTATCATCATCATTATCATCATCATCATTATCATCATCTTCATCATTACCATCATCATCAACAGTATCGTTATCATCATAATCATGGTCATCATCATTGTCCTTATCATCATCATCATATAAATTATCATCATCATCATTATCATTATTATCATCATCATCATTATCATCATCATCATCATACTTATCATAATCATTATCTTCATCATCATCATCATCTTTATCATTATAACCATCATCACCATCATCATCATTAGTATCGTTATCATCATCATTTACATCATTATCATTATCATTATTATCATCATCATATCATCATCATCATCATCATCATCGTCATATCATCATCATTATCTTCATCATCATCATCATCTTCATCATTATAACCATCATCACTATCATCATCATTAGTATCGTTATCATCATAATCATGGTCATCATCATTTTTATCATCATCATATAAATAATAATCATCATCATCATTATCATCATCATTATATTAATCATCATCATCATTATCATCATCATCATAATCACATTAATAATCATGATCATTAACATTATCATTATAATTATCATCATCATTACTTTCATCATCATCATCATCATTTACATCATCATCATCATCATAATCATTGTCATGTTAATGATCGGTAAAATATTTACATTACTCGATAGCGTTGATTTATCTTATGCTTTGCATTTTATGATTCTAGATACGTCCATATATTTTATTCTTAGCTATTTTTCATGAAATCCATGTTTTTTTTAATAGATACTAGATCGTGATTCAGATAAAAAGTATATAATGCACATGTTCAATTTTTTTTAATCACTAGTTTTCTCAGGAGTAACATTATTGTTCACTCAACCAAAGAAATCTAATACTGCTTACTTCCTTACGAAGATAAATGCTTATATTCATAAAATAGTATAAAATTAAATCTTTAAATTTTGACCTACCGCAGTGTAGTTTGTTTGCTTGAATTTCCTTATTTTAGTAAGAATATATGCTCATTGCTGACCATGCTGTCTTGATCACAATTAACCCAGGTTTTATTCGGAAACAAAGACACTAATTCGCACGAGGCAAGTATTTCAAAGCTGCACCGCGTATGTCAATTATATTGGTTCCAATTCGATGCTGTTTTAAATCCACATGGACATTTTTAGTTATTATGAATTTACAATAACACAAAAAAGTATTTATTCTTTTTTACATTTTTTCACCAGAGCACTGCGAAGTCAACTTTTAGTGCTAAGAGCATTGCGTATAAGTTAGGAAATATATTGTAAAAGCACCATTTATCTATTTTCTTTTGTCGTTCGCACAACCAAGTTATAAGTGTTGTTTGTAGAGATCGCTGTAGAGACATTTATATTAGATACCCTTAGAATATCTTTAGCTGTTTAGTTTTAGCTTCTACGAAATATTTTTAGTTTTACGAAGTCATATTATCTATGGACTTATGCTACATCCATTCTATAAAGAGATCAGCGATATGAATGGTTTCATTTTTTCTGTTTCCTTCCACCAATTACGTGTAAATCCTATTCCAAAAATACACGGACAGACCATAAATGGCCCAGAAATTTGTTTAGGTTTTTTTATGCAATCAATTTATGTAATAAATATATTCCTTTGTTTAATGCAATGTTTGTCACGCACGCTATATTGCGTGAGTTAGTCGTATGTAGGTCTTAAAGGTCTTTTATTTTGCCAAGATAGGCAACTCTCAACACAAAATTACTGACCGTTAAAACAAAATTTTTCAAAAAACTGCAAATATCTCATAAGTACATGGCAAAACACGAAAAACAAATACATCTCATAAATTACGAATAATTTTACTGTATTTTTGCAGTTTTTTCAACGTTAAAATGTATTTCTATGCATTTGAAAAATGCGAATGTTTTTAGGGTTTTGGCAAATATTTTGCAAAACCTATGCTTTAGTCACTTATCTGAATATTTGTCATATTTTTGAATGCTCAACGCATCGCAGATTGGCTGAATTTATGTGAAAACAATTGAAAAAAATAGTAGCCAATCTAAATACATGCGAAAACAATTGTAGCCATCATTTTTGTGTCATTAGCGTAATATTCTTACATCATTCACGAATCATTCATATATCATTGTTTTATCATTCTTGTATTATTTACGTATCAATCTTGTGTCATAGATGTATCATTCTTGTAATATTCATGTATTATTCTTGTATCATACACGTATTATTTTGGTATAGTACACATATCATTCTTGTATCACGCTGTTTTCCAGACTTTTCTCTGATGCATGAGTAGTGGCCCAACAGTGTTTATTAATTTAAGATTCCTGTATTTTGTTACTGTCAAACCAATGTTTCTATCAAAAATATTGAATGTTGGACCGATTCCAAACACGCTAAATTTTCTAGGGTGGGTGCAAATTGTACGAGCTCCTCTAGCTGTTGATTATTGGCAAGAACGATAAAAAGATCAGGTTGTATGGAGCATTCTCTTATAAAAATTGAATCTTTTCACTCATCTTCCTCTCTCTTTGCACGTTCTAAAAGGGTCCAAGCGTTGTTTAGCGTTTCGTTTTTACCGCCAACAATTTTTTCTGTTTTCTTAGAACGCTCGTTTGAACTAATTTCAATGCCCTTCTCTTGTCTTGCATTACGCATTGCGTTGTAAATGTCGTTGGGACCCCTGGCAGTTCACTGGCAGATCTTGCCATAGCAACATCACCAGCTGCAATATAAACCTCGTCAAGAATCTCTTGCGGGTTTCTTCTTTGCCTAGGATTGAATTCTTTAGCTTGCTCTTTGTGCTTGGAAAAAGACGTGTGTACGACGACCGTTTTTTGGCATTTCCATGAGGCAATATGCGAGTTATCTCGTGTTCTCGGCCGCTAAAAAGATATTGCACCAACACCAACGGGATTTGTTGATCAGAGTTGCCTATGAAAATGGTTGTATGAAAACTAGCCATGATATTTTTTCTATCCATTGATTTACAGGATAACATCATTGCTAAAAATATCGTCACGTATAGCTTGTATGAGTTATACTGGACTAAAGCACACGCGTGCATGTGTGAAGTGTTACAAATATTTATAACAATTGCAGTATACTTTAACTCACCATATAACTTGCACACAACTTTGCAAACGTTAGGATCTGACATGTTTTGGTAGTATACTCATCTAAGACAGTACAAATCGCTTGCTGTTAGCTGTGTAGAATTTTTTACCGCTGGAAAAATTTTTTGACGTTTTTGAATCCTTATGCACATGAATGCTGTATTTTGGGGAACTATTGTTTCCAAGCAAGCATATTATCACAATTAAGATAATCTGGCTGTTGCAAATATCTTATATCCACGTTGTGGGACACGTTGATGAGATGTGCACGTTTCCTTTTGTTCATATGTTCTCAACAGTATACAAACAAGTTGTTCAGCAGGTTACGCTGTTTTATCCATGCAAAATCAGGAGTTATTGCATGATCTTTGTACGTCTCAAACAAATACTCTTCTTCACTATTTTCAAAATTAAAGATAGACACTCGATATTAATCCCTAGATTGAACAAAATCATTATAATAATAGAATAATAATAGAAATCGTTATACTTGCAATTTCTATACTAAAAATAAAAATTCTAACATATCAAAACAACTATAGCAACTTCTCTTCACTTGAACACCTTTCTAGCAATCTTTTGCTTGCTTTGGCTCCATGCAAGATGTTGTGCTAAACAAGAGAGAAGCAAAATGAGCTAAATTTTGAGCTAAGTATTTAAACTTTGGAATGTTTTCCATTGACTATAGGAACGTCTTTATAAAAACGCTCGAACTATTAGATTTTTACCAGATTTTAGCACCCCCCACCCCCCCTCACTCCCCGGTAGCGACGCCCTGCATAGAGAAATTGTTAAAAAAAGTTTGTCGTTGTGAAGTATTTAATGTTTTCCATTTGCTAAAATGATTTCACGCTTTGGCAAATCCCGGTTGCCTACGGGCTCATGTAATCAGCTCCTAATTATAACATGTTTACAAGAGTACTAACTGTTAAAAACACAACGGTTAATTAGTTATAAAGATAGCTCAATCTCAAAATATTTTTTTAAGAACTAAGATATCTTAAAGAGTCAGAGTACACTAAATATTATAGATAGGTAAAATTGTAAAAACATTGTTACCTAGATAATTCGCTATATCTCATCACTTTGAGCGATTGTGGGCAATCAGACGTCCCACCAGAGCATTCAATTACATGCGGCTTGTGAAGAATGTTCAGTCGTTCCGGGAAAGTATTTGATGATACCTTTCAAATTACCACAAGCCGATTTGGGAACAGGATGGGTGTCCAAAATGAATAGTTCTTCCATAAAGGCACCAAAAAGAAGAATGTATGACTTACATGTACAAGGCAAATGAATCAGAACTAACTTTTAGAGCTTTAACTTCTTCCAACAATGACTTTTTCCCTCCTCTGTGAATACACCAAATGAATAAAGATGCATCTCGAAGAATTCATAGCGTTGAGGAAGGCAAGAAATTTCTCTCAGTACGCTATATGCTTCCACAATATCGTAGAGCTTGAAAAGGTCTCTGTGTTTGTTGATTGTTCGTGGAAGATTTTCAATGACATCTTCCGAGATTGTAGCAGTTTCCAGCTTACTAGTTGACTTTCTTTCATATACCTCGTGCGCAATCTTCAGACATAAAAAGGCACATGCTTTTGTTCCATCGTTATGTAAAATTTCTGGCAACATGGAAGTCGTGCCGTCATATTCACTGTGGAGTAATTTACACTGTGCCTCATCAGCAACAATATTTCTGTTTATATTTTCAATAAATAATGACTGGGATACTTTTAGATGGATTGTGTTTCCGGTTACTGCTCCTTCTGCAGGTACGTTTTCTTGTTTCTCAGATGCTGCGTCACATGTGGACTCTGATTGACGGTCTTTTTCTTTGATTAGCATAATCATAATATCTTCGTCACTTGGTCTTGACAAAGGTTGAAACTTGTGCAGGATATAAATAATTTCAGGATTTGTTAATTTGAATAAAACCATCCCATAAGCCCACATATCTGCTTTTTCAAATCGTCCAACGATGCGAATGGCAATTGCAACTCACGAACTAAAAGTTCTGGAGCCATAAAAACAGATGTGCCTCTGTTAAAGCGATTAGTCATGGACGAAACAGTGGTATTGGTGTTGATATCCTCTGATTTACCTTCTCCAAAGTCCGTAAGTTTACAAATTATGGGCACTTTAGATGAAATATTTTCCATTTCGACAAGGCTATATAAATGGCAGTAGTGCTGGTTTGACACTAAAATGTTAGCTGGTTTTAAATCTCTATGGGTTATACCTTTACCATGAAGATAGTTCAATCCACATACCACGTTATTTGCAATTTGTAAAACACCAAAGGATCTATACCCATACAATCATTTTTGTCAAATTGACAAAGAAGGTTAGATAGAGTATTTACCTTGGTATTCAAACCAAAGGGCTCGAAAGTAAAATAAAGATATTCTAAAAGTAGAGCGTGATGTAACACTTGTAATGTCCAAATAATGTAACACTTTATTCTATGTGAAAACGTAGAATTAAAAAGCTAACATTATTTGGACTTATCGTTATTGTATACACTACGGTTATTATATGACATAGAGTTTCTCTCATTCCGGGTTTTACAGATTCGGCTTTTCTCATTCTGGGTTTTACAGATTCTGGCTTTTCTCATTCCGGGTTTTAAAGATTCCGGCTTTTCTCACTTTGGGTTTTACAGATTCCGGCTTTTCCCATTCCTCCATTCCATGCCCCGATTCCCCAATCCTTGTTTTACTAGATAGCCGTGTTTTGTGTTTGCAAATGTGTTTAATATAAATGAAAAATGTGCTATTAAACAGTTAATTGTGCTGCGTGCTTGCTTAAAACCGTGAATTAAGCTTTGATTAGTCACTTTCGTGTTTTGCAATTCCGGGCCACCGTAGAAACGTGAAGAATATTATCTAGCTCAATAGCTCGTTAACATCACTTGTTTGCTAACAACATAACACACAAGACAGCGCATCATGCCATAGTCGTATTCGTCACCATACAAAACCTATGCGATTTGAACGTACTTTTCACGTGGCCAGAATAATTTTGTACGATATCGATGTTCGTTAACTTATAATCACCACAAGTCAATCTTGCAAGGCACGATCGATACTTACATAGCGCAGATTACTACGATACGTTGTTAGTTATAAAATGCTGTGCAAAATCAGAGATTCAACACACACAAAAAAAGAAATAAAATACACTACAAATTTATCTACTTTAAAATACCCCAAATATAGCTGCCTAAATCGTTTCATAACATTTTCCTCTCGTGCCAAATGTTTCGAACATCTAGCATTTCCATGGTCTTCAATAAGTCCGCTTTACAAAGTATGTTGAAATCGTTTAGATTGACGAGATGAAGTAGAAAATTTCGACAAAGTTTTTCATTAATAATAGTTTCACCATATTCTTCGACGAACGTCTTGCATGCTTCCGGTATTTGCAAGTCGGCAATGTATCTAAGGTGATCAGAAAGACAGTAAACGACATGAGCTGTCTGACACTAAAACGTGTACGTGATTTGTTCGTTCGGGAGAAGTAGTTCTGAAGACCCCCGGGCTCGGTCGATTGTAAGCCAAAAGCTGAATCAGATATTTTTCTTTAGAAATGTGTGAAATTGTTCGGGCATCATGAAAAATAAGGAAATTTGTCACACGTGAATTGCTAAATTTGAAATTTTCGACTGCAGCGTAACATAACAGTTGTAAACGGAGTGTGTTTTCATCATTGAAATTACTGCAGATCCTGTATAACCCCAACAGGGCATGAAAAAAAGACTACAATACATACTGTTCAACCCTATACAACACAAGTAGGTCGTGTAAAACAGAATATGATACATCCTGTTCTAGTCTGTACAACACTAGCAGGGTGTGTAAAACAGAATATAAAACATCCTGTTCAACCCTGTAAAACACCAGTGGGACGTGTTAAACATGTTATACTAAATATTGCTAACTCTATACAACACGAACAGTGTGTGTAAAACAAAATCGAAAACATCCTGTTCAACCATACGCAACACGACCAAGGTGTGCAAAACAGAATAGAAAACATCCTGTTCAATCCTGTACAAAAGAAAAACGGTGTGTAAAACCGAATAAAAATATCCTCTTCAACCCTGTACAAAATCAACAGGTCGTGTAAAACACAATATAACATCCTGTTAAACCCGTACAACACAAAAAGATTGTAAAACCTAATTACAGTTCATCTTTATTTGAATCGTCGTCAGACCGAATAATGAAAACAAAATCACTTTTAAACGGAACTCTTCCGTTTATCGACTGTTTGGTAAAACATGACAATCAAAAACTACGAACAACAGTTTATCGCAAGCCAACACATACTGACCGACTACTAGACCAATCATCTTACAATCCTTCATCACATAAAGCCACCACAATCAGAACATTAATAAGACGTGCACAAATCATATGTGATTGACCGGATGCTCTACACAACGAAAACAGCTATCTCAAACGTGTTTTTGACAAAAACAACTATAACTATGACTTTATCAAACGTAACACTTACAAACCCAACGAACCCAACAAAACGAACAACTCAGTGACAACAGCAACGATACCTTACATCAAAGGTACGTCTGAGACTATCTCGCGTATCTTACGACCATACAACATACGTGTCGCACATAAACCAATCACAACGTTACGACAAGTATTAACGAACATAAAGGACAAAGAACAACCCAACGAACGACAAGGTGTAGTTTACAAAATAAACTGCTCCGACTGCCACGCCTCCTATATCGGGGAAACTGGCAAGAACTTAAACATAAGACTTACTGAACACAAACGAGCTACTAAGAAACAAGACAAAACTAATCACATTGCCGAACATCACCGAATCACAAAGCACAACATTGACTGGGACTCGGCAAAATGCATTACTTACAGTACTGACTATAGACAACGGCTTACATTAGAAAGTTGGTATACCAACTTGGAGCAAACCCCCCTGCACAGATCACAGCAATTACCGGCACCTTACAAACGACTTATTCACAATACAAACAAACGATCAACTAAAACACTTCACACTAATTCATTAACACTTACACACATCACACCTAAATCACACATCACAACTAAAAATAAAAATATTTCACTTCACACTAATTTACAATGACAATACACAATTAACACCCATACATTACAACTAAAAACATCACACCTAAATCACACATCACAACTAAAAATAAAAATATTTCACTTCACACTAATTTACAATGACAAAACACATTTCCTGTGCACACAATACAATGACGTAAGAACCTGATAACAAATACGGCTAACCTGACGTTTACTCCTCATTTGACTCTGAAGATGACTACTGCTAAGGTTGTCGAAACGTCAGTCAACAACAACAAAAACAGTCCTTCTCAGGACTATACCAACCTGGACGATCGACATTTACAAACATTTATTTGGGGAATTTTGTGCATTAATGCCTTTATTGCTCTGTATATTTAAAAACATATTGAAAACGACACTTCACACAGCGATAGCTAAACAATATGCCTTCATTCATTGATTAGACTAGCAATTTGACTTAGCTTTTATGCAGAAATCTACCATTTATCAGGAAACACTTACCCTCGTTTCATAACGTGAATATTCCACAGTTTCATTAATTTCTTCTCTCCGTCATTGACATCCGTAAAATCATCGATCATCTAAATATTGCAAAGATTATGAACGTTGTGCTAAAAATGACAGGTGAAAAAAGTGAATTTTTTTGTTAAACATAACGACCATCGGACGTTCACTCGGGCTACTCGGCAAGAACAGTGTTTGGTTATATTTGCGTATCATAATTGTTGCCGAAATTCACGACAATGTAATCTTACATGTATATATAATGTAAGTTAATCTTTTCTATTGTAGGCGTCATTAGTTACGCTCAGGCGTGAAACGATCCGAGAAAGATTTGACTGCGTGGTTTTAAGAACTCTGTGTCAGTCAGGCGTGATTTGAATCGTCTCGCGCGACAAAACACTTAAATCTGAATTTTAATGTAGGGCATACCTTAAGGTAGCCCGAGTTAAAATCACAGTTTACGAATCCAAGTGAATAGCATTACTAGGCTTCTTGTCTTCTATGTTCACAGTAACTTCTCATCACAATTTGCTTCAACTGAAGTTGAAGACAAAGAAAAGGAAACACCTACCGATGTTTACGTATCTCTACATCAACATGTAGTATTCCAGGTATTAAAATAACTGCGTTTTTTGCACACTTTGTGGCCTTGTAAATCTGAGACGTGTCTTTGACAGTAGCTAGCATGCAGATTTACGCCCGCTATGTAAATTTTGAAGGATTACCATTATTCATTTCTTTAGAAATCTATTGTTCTCACGGGTAGTAAACACAAAAATATTTGCATAGCGGGAGTAAAGAATCGGGCTGGCTAAGCTACTGATCTTTGAAAGCTGTAAATGTAAATATGTGTCCTTTATGAAAAGAATTTATAGATATTTTATTCTTATCACATAATGGCCGTATTGCTTTTGCTATTTGACTTTAATCAGAATTTCTCTGTCAGAACTTCCGTTAAAAAATCAAGCACTCTTTCCACTTACTTCGAGGTGTCGATTCGTTCTTATTTAATGACCTAGAACTCAATCTACTAGATATCGGACACCACCGAGATTCTACAGTTACGAGTGAGGCAAGCCGCCATATTGAAAGGTGGCAAAAGTTACGATATTTACGACTAATATCTGCTTCTTCGGCATTGATAAATTGTTTCAGAGTTGATAGCCTACGTTTGGTTTCAAAATGTTTGATAGGATTTCTTTTTCAACTTTCCTTTAGCTTACTTTTAAGTGAGAATATGTCACTTTTCAAAATGGCATCCATACCTCACCCACCTTGACATAATAGTCAGACAATTGTGGGATTGGGTTCTAAATTATACGTTCCTATCATAGTTTGCATCAAAAGAACTTGAAGGCATATGAACAGTCGATTTTGAATGTAGCCTTATGAAAGTGAATGTTTAGAGTTAGTGAAAAGTTAAAAAAGTATCTGCAGCAACTTGACTTCACGTACTTTTTGTGTTTTTATTCGCAACCATTCTGGATTCAGTTCATCTTCACTGTCAAATTCCAAGTCATCCGGTTTCATAGGAAGGCACGTGTTGGAATGAAAATACACTCTAGATTCAAATGAACACAAAGATGCGATGTGGCGTGCAAAGCGTGAGCTGATTACCCTATAGATGAGTTTGCATTAGCCTGTGCAAATCGATTTGAGCTCAATGAATTAAATCGATCAAAGAGAATTTGCTAATCAATCATGAATACATGTTGGAGGAAAAGTTTTAACTTGATCTTTTTCGCATTATTGTTATTTTACAAAAGAAATAACAGATGTTTTTCGTGTCTGCACGGGCTTATGCAAACCTCTGATACGTTTGTGACAACTCTAAACTACGTGCAAACCTTCATTTTGCAATAAATATTTTTGGCCGGCTATATTCCTTTGACCAGCAGTTATTTTGTCCCTGTGTAATGAAAGAATAGCTCGTGGCTTTTCGCCTTTCAATGTCATCGAGCACAGGAATAGGTCGGATATCAAAGCCAAATTTCTGCAGTCAGCTTATTCTTCACTAGACATCTCATTTTTAGACTTATTTGGCATAAATCAACAAAAATTAAAACCTTAAGATGACTCTATGTTGGTTAAACAGAAAATTTCTCCAACATACCTGTTGTGGCCATGAAAAAATGGTCTCGTTATTTCGGATTCGCTATCGTCCGGTTCCAGGAATTCGCTAAGACTTTCCTTTTCTCGTTTTGGTCTGCAGAAAGATAAAATCAAATTCTTGTGTCATAAAAACTAATCATAAACGAGGTAAGAGCGTACCTACCTACAAACAAGAAGGGCGGTGTATGACGTTCTACGAATGGGACCCTCTCGACTGAAGGCATAGCCGACCATTTCGTTGAGATCTTCGGCCCCACCAGCATAGGAACTGTCATAGTTTTCATTTAAACATACATCTATACGAGCTCCTTTATTGTGGGGCTACATAACAAAGGTAAAGAATACATTAAAATGAGAACCTTAGCTTTAAAGCCATAGAATATTTAATAAATAGATAACAATTAACCGTTGTCTATACAGTTATAGATTCACGGGTATGACTCGTCATTAGTGATAAGAACTAAAAAATGGTCAAAGAGCCACCGACGCGAGTCACTTTTGGTTCTTGTCACAAATGACGTCTTACTATACAATAAGACGTCATTGCAGTATAGATACACTAACGGTATCTATAACTGCATAGACAACGGTTTCATGTTATCTATCTGGTTTACACAATAAAATCAAAAAAATTCCTAAATGAAACTGTCAACAGTTTGTTTTCTTTGTCCCTCAACACTTGGAAAATTGAAAAGTCATGATTTCGCAAATATGACACGTACATGATCTATGGGATAGAAGAAATGGTATTAGCTAGCTTAGTCAAGTGATAAAATGTGATTGGCTAACAAATAGATAGGCAATGGGTGATCAATATTGAAAGTTGATTATCGAAGACAAAGTACAAATTAACGTCTGATAACCAGGTTTTTTCTTTTCTTTTTACTCAAATACGTCAAATGCTTCAAGTAGGCATTCTTAATGACTTCATTTGCCAATTCGGGGAAAAATTCAGATGAATATTTAAATAATTTCGCCGTTCGTTTGTAATTTGAAAACAAGAAATTTTCGGATTGCCAATTACGTTCGTATATACTCTTATAGATCATAGCTTTCCACAAATGAAATTGTTCGAATTGTTATGGTTATTATACAAATAATGGCTATCATTAAGCCTTAAGTTATGATGCTTTAAAATATACAAGTAGCTAATAATGTAATGTAGATTTGAGCAATGGCTGCGGTGAATTCCCTGGTTCAAAGCATAGGATAAGTATATGTTGTAGAACAAATACTTTTATTTAGACTCCTTGGCTGTAGAGCAATACAAATTGGAAAAATTTATGTCTCCATACTAGTATAGAGGTTCCGTGGCTGTAAAGGGATTGAATAAGTTATATTTCAATACTAGTAGATAGGTTACCTGGTGTAGGGCAACAATTGGAAAAAGTATGCATAAGTGGACAAAGGATTTGAATAAGCTAACATTAATACTTGTATACTTGTTAAAATTGTACACCAAAATACTTGCAGACGAAATATAAGCAACAAAAATATTTTTTAAAAAAATCAGCCTGTCAAGTTTTTTCATCAAATTTTAGGGTAAAATTTTACAAGGGTAAAGGTACGTAGTCATCTCACAAGTTTTGGTCCTGCAATGTAAATTCCAGAGCATTATCATAATTCATTAATATAGAAATCTATTGTTTTCTCAGTGAGTGAACAAAGTAAAATTCACATAGCAAGACCAAAAACACGCACGCTGGCTACCCAACTGGTAGAGAGTCAAACAAAAGTGGATGGTAAAAAATACAACCAAGTCGTACTTACCGCGTAAGTGAAAAGAAATCTTCCGTGACAGCATTTAAGATGTTTCAAAAGACTGTATAATCGACCACAGTTTACACTACACCATGGACAGAGAAAATCATCTCTAGCTTCGGTCTGTTGTCGAGTGTGATTACTATAAATAAACTGATAGAAGATACGCATTTGTTTTCTTTCACGGTCAGTCTCATCCGTCGACATCGCCAGCTCCAGGTTGCTAATTGAATCCAGCTTTCCTTCTCGTAATGCCATCGACGACGAACCGTGGTGCAGCGGTTTTCCTTCCCAGGCAAGAGAGAATTTCAATGTAGGACCAAATGCAAACAGTTCGAAAGGTCCTAGCTGTGAAAATATATTAATATCGATACTGTCTGAGAATATCCTAGCATACGGAAACTTGCATGGAAGTTCCAAAACCTTATCATTGTAATACTTGCATGCAGGTATTCTGGCGCATTTTTCGGGAAAAACCCTGAAACCAAAAGAAGCAAAACAAAACAACTCAAGCAGTACAAATCACCATTTGAGAAGCAAAAGCGTATCTAGCCTTAAATATTATACGAATACCACCCCACCCCAAAGTCACTTTGCTAGCCAAATTTTTTTGGTAATCTTTCAAACATAGCATGAGCAAATTTGGAGGCTGGCTATGCTACTGCCCCTCATACCAATTAGCGAGCTGCTTACGCAGGAGAGCATGGTTTGAACACAAACATTAAACTGAATTCCACAGGAATGCTATTTCACGCTAAAATTTGAAGCCAGCAAAGAAACTAGTACCAATCTTTTAACGCCCGGCCAAAGAAAGTTCAAGCCACTGATATGTATAAAACTGGATGACGCAGCTTAGTGCTTGACTTGAATCGACGTGATTTATTTCACTCTTGGGAAAAAAATAATTATGATGACAAGACTGTAATAGAACGGTTTTGAGCGAAAATTCAAGTTCGCTAAATTTCACACAGAAATCTTCTTCCGAAACAAAGTTCACTTACGCACGATAACCTACTGTGCGTGACTTTAACCCCCACACATACGTGTCTGGGTGTAAAATGTACAAGTACAGGCATGTTTACCTTTCAAGTATTCTTTCAGTTATACATACAGCTAAGTGGATTAAACTCATACATGATTTACTTAGTTGCATTTAATAAGAACTGAGTCACCATGAAATCCGCTCAAAAAAAAAACAGTCTAAATTGTCCTATTCTTTTTCAAAATGTATGCGGCCTGAACTTCGAGAAATTCGACATGAACTACAAATGTTTTGTGAGCAAAAGAAGTTGCGCGTAGCTAACAATTTGATAAAAAACTCGACAAAAAAGTGCCATAATATGCAGGAAAGCATAGTGAACTTAAGCATAGAAAGCATGTCAGTTTGGCGTAGGTTGATTGTAATTTCAGCACCGACATAAAATATGCCAAATGAAGATATATATACTTGTGGGGAACTGGGACGAATTGAATTACGTAACCATATAGTTAATCATCAGTAGTGTACAATCACGTGATTAAGGGGAATTTAGAGAATATATTCGACAGGGATGGGAACTAATTTCGAGACTTTAGTCGAGTGCACATATCTGTACGTGAAACGGTGATTAATGAAATATATCAAACTTGTGAGTGAGTATGTTTGCCATCAACTTATAGCTTCTTTACCGCTCCCAACACAAAGTGGCACCTGCGACGGGATTGTGAGAAATGGAAGAGTTGATCTTTAGCGCAAGAGAAACTAAAAAGCGCTCAATCGAGAAGCGAAATATGACCGGCATAGAACGCCAAAAAACTACTGTTGGCAAACTAACTTCAGAAATTGATCAACTGAAACTTAAAATTCAAGAACTTCGAAAGAGGTGATAACGATGACGAAATTGGAAAATGGGTAAATGAAATCGAATTAGAATTAAATTCGCGTCAAATCCAAGAGTTGGATCCCCCGGGGAGCCTGTCACTGAGCTCACAAAACTAGGATGGACATGGACAATCATGTCACCGGGGGAGAACGTTACCCTTAATAAACTGCTTTTTACTCAAGTACTTCGCAAAAAGTATGAGCAACTGTGTAGGTTAGATGTTCTTGGACTCGAGGACTCTCGAACAAATGATCAACAGAATGTGTACAGCGAGTTTAAAGAGCAGATGTGAAAGAAAGATGTGAAGAAGGTTGGTATGAGACAGGACTACCCTGGAAGGGAAATCACCCACCACTACGCAACAAAAAATGTGGCAGTATTAGAAGATTAAGTAGTTTGACTAAAAAACTAGAGAAACAGAATCTCATGGAGCAGTATCACGAGATTATTCAGAAACAGTTGGAGGAGCTGGCAGAAATGGAAGTCAACGGCAAAGAGTTCTACTTGCCCCATAAACCAGTGGTTAAGCAATCAACAGAAACAACAAAGCTAAGGATCGTGATAATGACAAAGCACCGTCCTTGAATGAATGTTTACAGACCGGTCCACCCCTTCAGAATCATTTGTGGAAGGTGCTGGTGAGAGGAAGATTTCACCCAGTTTCGTTAACAGGAGATATAAAGCAGGCATTCCTCCAGGTAAGAATACTTCAAGATCGAGACGTAATGCGGTTTCATTGGTACAAAGCCATTAAGACGAAAGAGATAACCCTACGGTTTATCAAAGCTCTGTTCGGCTTATCTCCTTCCCCGTTCCTTTTGGGAGGAGTCATAAAACAACACCTAGAAAACCATGAGCAGACCAACCCCGACATTGTAAAAGAGGTTAGAGACAGCCTATACGTCGACGACTTTGTGAGCGAGGGAGAAACACTCGAACAAACAAAGAAATGAAAAGAAACTACTACGGAAATCTTCGCCAACGGGCAGTTTACTTTGCAAAAATGGCACTCCAACATACCTGAGCTAGAATCAGCACAACCACAACAAGCTTCGACGGATGAGACCACATTTGCCAAGTAACAATTAGGAGCGACTACATCCGAAGCAACAATTTTTGGATTATCATGGGACAAAAAAGGAAGACCTCATTAAAGTTCACATACCTACGGACATGTCTCACAACACGAAGCGTGAGATGTTAGCTAAGACAGCGAAGATCTATGACCCACTCGGTTTGGTGTCTCCTGTCACGTTACAAGCAAAGCTCCTCTTTCGGGACTGCTGTGATGTCAAGTTATCGTGGGATAAGGAATTGCCACAACAACTGAAAGATATCCCACGATCTATCAAAATTGCACGAAGTATCGTCGGTTTCCAGGAAAGCATACCTTTGCTGATGCTTGCAGTTATGGAGTTGGGGCAATAGTGGTGGCAATTGTCCATCATGTGAGTGGTACTAACAAGGGCCTGGTGGCTTCCAATCCTCGTCTTGCTAAGAAGGACCTGACTATACCACGCTTACAACTTTTATCTGAACATATGGCAACAAATCTTGTTCATAACGTCAAGGAAGCGCTGGACGGCTTCCCAATCAGCAATGTTTTTGGATGGCTGGACAGCACAGTAGCTCTCCATTGGATACGGAATGGTGGAAGTGAGGATTTAAAGCAATTCGTTGGGAATCAGGTGAGGAAGATACAGGAAAAGAACTACATCCTGAGACACATTCCTGGGAAAGATACTCCTGTAGACCGAGCGAGCAGAGGAGGTAAAGTGAGAGAAGAAAACGATCTGTGGTGGAAGGGATCAAAGTGGTCGACAACGAAAGAATATTGGCCAGAGCACAACCAAAGCAACCGACGAGGGTCACAACCACAGCAACCGACGAGGGTCTGGCAGAAACAAAACCCATAAAACAAATATTTAAAACTGCAACCCTGCAACGAGACGAGTTCGACGAATTGCTGAACGAATATGACCTCTGGAAGACCTTGAGAATTTGTGGATAGATCTCGCGATTCACTCAGAACAGTAGAAAACAATGAAAAAGGAAGAGTGGTCCATTGAATAGAGAAAAAATTAACAATCGGAGATATTGGTGGATAAACGAGTTCAAGCCCAATCTAGACACTGCAAAATTTTGTCAAGATCAAGAAAGGCTTCATCTTTTGCCAGATAAAGATGGTGTCTTGAAGTGTTATGGCCGAATTCAAGGAGATCACCTTATTTACCTGCCCGACAGCGATGTGTTTACAGAAAAGATTGTTCAGCATTCCTATTATGTCATCCTTCATGGGGGAGCAAGTTTAACAATAACGAAAGTACGTGAAAATTACTAGGTTCCGACATCAAGACAAATGTGATGCGAGTTATAAAGCGCTGTCACGGATGTAAAAGATTTCAAGCCGTTCCCTACACAAGTCCTGTCACAGGAAATCTACCTAGAGACCGCACTAAGCGGCGTTTACCGTTCCAAGTAATTGGTATCGACTGCGCTGGCCCGATAAAGTATCGTAAAAGGAAAAATGTTGGAGGAAAAGCTTGGATTGTAGTGTATGCATGTGCAGTCACGAGAGCATTACACCTGGAATCACTGAAGACCATGGACACACAAGAAGTTCTCACAACCTTCAAGCGGTTAATTGCGCGAAAAGGGTGACCAAGAAAAGTTTACTCCGACAATGGCAAGACGTTTGTAGCTGGAGCATAGATATTAAAAGGAATTATGCACAACGAGAGCTTCAACGACTATTTAGCTAAGTTACACATTCAATGGCAGTTCAACCTTAGCCGAGCTCCATGGTGGGGAGGTCAGTACGAAAGATTGATCGGTTTGATCAAACAGGTCGTTTACAAATCGATCAGCAACGGCTATCTGACCTGGGAAGAACTCGAGGAAGTATTTTGGATGTGGAAATCACGTTGAATAACCGTCCACCCGGATACATCGAAGACGACGATTAACTTCCCTTGCTTGCACCGAATGCCATGCAGTTTGGATTACCAAACGTTCTTCCAGAGCAGGAAGACCATCGAATCGAGGATAATGACCTTCGACGCAGAGCAAGGTGTATACGGTGCTGCAAGGAAGTGTTAAGAAAACGGTGGCAGACAGAGTATTTGACAGTACTGCGTGAAAGACGTAACATGAAGCACAACAGGAAAAAGGCAAACATTAGCATTGGTGACGGTGCAATCATAAAGAAAATCGGAAAGAAAAAGAATCGACGCAAGTGAAAATTCGGAAGTGTGGAGCGGTTAGTAACAGGAAACGATGGTGTTGTGCGAGGAGAAAAGCTGAGAGTTGGAAAAGTACAATCGAATGACCACTCCACTTACTATACCCGATGGAGTTATCTTGTGACGTAACGAGGAAGCATGAAACTACCTCGGACACGGATCTGAATGTGGATGCCAGTGAATTCAAACTAAGGAGAAATGCCGCAGCAGTTGCTGAGTGTCGGATACAAGATCAAGTAGAAGAGGAGCAGGAAAGTTGAGAAGGGAAGAAACATTTCCAAGCATTAGGACATTAACATTTCTTATTAACAATAAATTTATGTTAGTTATTATAGTTAGGTAGTTATCTAGTGAATGATTTAATGTGTTTATATTCGTTTCCAACGAGCAAAAGGAATAGGGGGAGAGGTGGGGAACTGGGACGATTTGAATTGCGTAAATATACAGTTAATCATTAGTAGTGTACAATCACGCGAGTAAGGGGGATTTATTGACTATATTACATAGGGATGGGAAATCATTTCGAGACTTTAGTCGAGTGCATATATATGTACGTGAAACGGTGATTAATAAAATATATCAAACTTGTGAGTGTGTTTGCCATCAACTTACAGCTTCTATAGCGTTCCCAACAATATTACGTATATAGAAAGATATTAGCAGGACCAAACAGGATTATCGATATGCCTACTTCGAAAATGCTTTGACATTAAGTATTTGCGTATGATCGTATATCAAAATATATTCCGAAGAAAAGCATTCAAAAAAACTTGTTCTGTAGAAAAATGCGTCAAAACTTAACACAAAATGACTTTTTCGCGCTTCGGGACGGTACTGGTACCATTATCACAGATTGGACTCCCGGTCACCTGAATTAAACTCAATGCACTCTACCTTTCCGTTATAAGCGGCCTCCCATGACATCTGCTTACGTTTGCGTTGTTTACCAATGCCCTTGTCGTGCAAGACCAGTTCATATTCACCGTCAACTAAAAGACATTCGCGTTCATTTCCAAAGATAATTAACTCGGTGAAGTAAACTATTTTGTCGATATCTTGGAGATCAACTTCAAAAACCTCTTCCGTTTCTTTTGACGAAATCGTGCCGTTTTCAGATGGCCGTCGACCGCGAAGACGTTTGTTTGGGGGCTCGGAAGAACTTGATTTTCCTATACATAGCAAAATCATAACATATTTTCATCAACATGAAGTATAAGAGTGTAGCATCCACAAATTGTTATTATTCAGAAGTTCCAAGATGTGAAAACAAGATTATCAATAAAAAAGGTACGTAGAGAGTATATGTGGGTAGCCACAAAATAGACGGCAAATAGTTTATGTACAATAAACATCGAACTTTGTTAAATATTCCAGATTGCAAAATGTGCGATGAATTCAATCCTCAGTCGAATGACCGACCCGAACAAGCCTCTGCAAATTAGGGGAGCACATGCCAAATAAATTTGCGAGATGCTGTGGTTGTTAGTTTTAGGCTGTAAATAGTAGATGTGAAGTAAGTCATTCATCTCTATATTAGGACTGGATAGTGTATAAACAATGCATTGAACTAAAATACAACTGGAACAATAACTCCTATAGTTTTGTCCCATGATTGGCTGAAGCCAAAATACATCTAGAATTTGTCGAACTCCCCCATGAAATAATGCGTGTTTTTTTCGGCGACCGATGTTTAACTAGGCTTCTTGCCAGTAGAAAATCGAGATAAAAAATGATTTATTGTCGTTTTTTTTACACATTTTGTGCTTTGGAAATTGCATCTAACAGAATTAGTTCATGCAACAGCAAGATGGAGAAACATATTCAGCAAGAATCGAGGACGAACGATCAGCAGACAAATACAAGTCTACAAGACGAAACTAAATGTTAAAAAAGATGAATGCTGTATAAAACATATTTGAATATTCATAGCATTTTATACACCTTTTTCGTGTATGATTCATGTCCTTTTACGTTCTATTAATATTCCAGTGATATTATTTGTTTGAAGACACAATTTACCTTGTTTATTTCAATATTGTTCTTGTATCAACTACCAAGCTTATCGGCCCGCTGTGACATGCATTTTCTCTCATTTCATTATTTGCTTAAAACAGACAAAATAAGAATGGCGGGTTTCTTATTTGAAATATGTTCTGGACTATTATGCATTTACATCAGTAAAATAGCTTCTTAAGAACTCTTTTTGCATAGATCTTTCACTTTTCTCATGACACTAAGCTGTATGTATATTTGCAGCGTGTGTATTTTCATGGCATGAAAAATGCTTCTGAAAAAACACATTTTTCTCTTTAGCAAATTGATCAATTTTTACGAAACCTAATAGGCTTCTGTATTTAAAATGGAACTACAATATTTAGGTGGTTTGAACGGTTGGGTATGCCTAGAACTTTCAAAAACTCAGAAAAAGCAACAAAAATCGCGCGGACTTTTCGTAATTTTTGTCTTTGTTTCAAAATTTCACAGCAAGTTATGACTTTTGGCCGATTTTTTTGACATTCTATAATTTTCACTAATATTTTTCAAATACGATAGTATTTTCAAAAGCTGCGGCAAGGTTTACTTTTAAAATTTTACAAATATAAAAATGCTAAAAAGACTTGTTAGCATCACAAGCCATGTAAAATTAAATTTTGTTTGGTCGAATACTATTTGAAACTTGAAGCAAAGTACTGGTATATAGTCCAGTTATGTGCAATCTGGTCACAGTGCTTTGGTGTGTAATGCGTAAAAAAAGCAAATGAATGAATTTTCACATGTGTCTTAAAAGACTTAAATGCATTAAGTAATCTTCTCAATGTGCATAAACATGAAGTCATTATGACAATGGATCAACACTAATGATACACGTCTAACACAGTGTGATGCATTATTTATTTACAAAATATTTTGGTATGCGCGCCCTTCAGAAGGGTTACGTAATTGGTCATTTGAATGAAGAGTAAGCTCAAAACACATTATTGCCATCTCAAAAAACGCATGCGCGTGGCTACACACAAAAATCCAAGATGGTATTTCGCATTATCATAACCATTATATTTTACATTAGCGCAACAAATTTCTAAGCAATGTTGAATCAAAAACAGAGTACATTAATCAACAATTATTGGATTAGGTCGAGAATCATATCAAGAATTATTCAGATCTATAATAGCTACTACATTACCTAAAATTGGGGAAATATTTTTAAAAAGAAAAGAATTGACAAAATTTGCGGTCTGAAACCACCTTAGACTTCGCTACTTAACTCGGGAAAAAAATCATGAACAATGAAAAAAAATATGAGGAGACACACTCAAAAGAAACAAATTCGTTTTATTCAGCAACCAAGCAAAAATTAGTAAAAATAAAAATATTTCAAATTTCATTTTATAAAATAAACCACTTGACTTCCAAGTGTTTAATTTCATATTTTACAAGGGCGCCAAAAAAAACACTAATTGGGAGAGGGGATACATATACATTCAGCTCTGCCCGATTGATTTGCTTTGAAAGCAAGGGCAACACAAATAACTAATCAGTCGAGAAAGCTGAACGTATGAAATCCCCGAAACTAGCCTTGTAGTCTTCCCCTGAATTATACTGTTTTCCACACTCGACAAGGGCATTTAACGAACCCACTTACGTTTTTCGTTGGAAACAAATTCATTTTTTTTTCGTTTCTTTTTCTTCGCGTTCTCAACAAAGGGAATGCTGACTTCCAACATTAGAAGAAATGATCGAACGTTTCTATTGGTCTTTGCATCAAATATTGACTTTGGCACGGAGACACTGCATGACTCGAGAAGCGGTTCTTCATCCGTGCAGGGATTATGGGGAACCAGGCAACGACCGACGCGTTCTTGAATGATAGGAGGAGTGGTATCCTAAGTGAATGGTTACAAATGAAGAAAATAAGACACGCATGCGTGCAATATATATATAGCTGTATATTTTGAGGGACCCGTTTGTTTGACACTCACGACATACAGAATTGTTAATATACATGGAGCAGAGATGTATTTAGGGGAAGAGTGTGGAGGGCTATCAGATATGCACCTCTACTAATTTGGGGTAGATTGGGTGCAGGAGGGATACAGAGTTCTCTAAGTGAAATATATTGTGATTACCGTTTAATGGAGCACACTTTCAAAATGTAAAGAGAATAAAAAATTGAAGAGCGAAAAAAAATATGACATTGTTACCGCAACAAGCAGCAACAAAAGTCTAATCCAAACTTAAGCAGCCTCCCTCCCTCTCTTCCCCGCATTTTTTATTTCTCCCAAACCTTCCCGCGTGTTCTTAGCTTCCTATAACTCTATAGTAACACAGAAAATACTTTCTTATTCTTATATACAATGATGTGCATGTACAATTGTACGTTCTAGACTAACAAATTGCAGAACTGCTGCACACATTCAATAGAATGATAAAGCTTTGCTACATACCTTCCTTCGCTTATGGCAAACTTTAACTATGAACACTTCAGCTGGAACCAAATTTTGATCAGCCAGAATGTCGCTGGATGGTGTGGGTATTTCACCGCAAACTATACCAACAAAAGAACATAGTCCTCAGCAATGGCGTACAATATACTGACATCATAATCATATTTGTTTTGTATAACATTCATACTGCACTAAAACAGCGCTTCTATCAAGGTTGATATCGAGAAGTTCTCAAAAGAACTGTTGAAAACCAAAATGAAAATAACTATGCATATAATTAAATGACACGATGCATTTCGGCAGACTTTTCAACAGGCACCACGTCTGTTTTGATGAAAACTAAAATTTACTTCTATTTATATAATGAACACCTTCCTAAGGCTGTTCTTACTTGTCTATCGTTATAGCTATCTTTATTTCGGTTTTCGGCAGTTCATTTATAAGCCACTCAATTGTAATTCATTATGACAAATACGCTGTTAAGCAGAGCATTATATTCATGTTCGTGTTCTTCTTTACTTACAAACAAACTCCGACAGACAAACATTCTTAATGAGCAGGAGCAACTCTCACCTGGACCTCGAAAAAGCCTTTAAACGTCATATTCAAGTAGCCATTTTTATCTGAACTAAAATTTAAAGACGACACCATTTAACATAATATCTTGTGCAGAGAACTACTTCTGTCTAAAGCATTCTCAGAGCAATTGTGAAGGAGAACCTCACAAATGAAACAGAGCTTCATTGTATCCTTACCAAGTCAGATTTCCGTGATTCATACGTTCACATCTCTCTAAGATATCGTCAATCTTGAATTTCTCCCTGAAACACACGATGATAAACATCTCAGGCATTTTTGTAAAGTATCACTATCTACGGAGAAATTCCCGCAATTTATCATGAGCTCTTTACAGCTTAGCCGAAATCCCTGTAAGAGGAAGTACAATTCTACTTTTCACAACTGTTATTGGCACAACGGTAAAAACTGCGTAAAGGCCCGTTCACACGAGTGAGCAACCGACAGTCGGATCCGCCAATCTAAAAATTCGGACGGAAATAGAATTCGCTCAATTTTCATCCAACTTAAGATGAAAGATAGCCTTCTGGTCAAATTACATAGATTTGAAAAAGACAAAAATACGAAAAATATATCGATAAATGTACTGGACAGCACAAATGGCTGCTCACAAGACTAATTATACAAACGAATGTAAATATCAACAAAATTATCAAACCGTCTGAACAAGCAAAAAAAGTCAGAACCGAAACAATCGGATCAGACAATTCAGATCATGTGAACGGTCAAAAGTCGCAACATATAATTGAAGGACTTGTAGAATTTCATAAAACAATATGTAATAGGCATGCATAAAAATAACTATTTGCTCCGTGTTTAAACATTTAAGCAAGACGATAGTCGAAATAATCCATGCACGGTTCATAAATATAGCTAAAACGTTATATACTACAACACAAATAACACAACTCATTTTGGCTAAATTTATGATTCAATATATGATAACATACTCAACGAAATCTATGTGTCAGCTTACTTGCCCTGAACTAAGTGTACCTGAATATTTTAAAAAGTACTACAGGAAGCAGATCCCAAAGGAAATAGCTAACTTGAAATTCAACATTTGAACTGAAATAAGTAATATGTAAAATCTGTAAGTAAAGGATTAGGTTTTATTATGTTTGAAAGAAATTCGAAAATGAACACTAAATTTAAGGTCTCAAATATTATAATTCAAACATAGAATTTCATACTCTTCGGAGGTTAGTAGAATCCTGAGAAGGACAGTTGTTTTGTTTTTGTTTTTACTCTGAAGATGACTACCGCTAAGCTTGTCGAAACGTCAGTCAACATCAACACCAACAGTCCTTCTCAGGACTTTACTAACCTGGAAGATCTACATCTACAAACATGTAATGATACTCACAGGTTCAAACCACCTATTTTATAGCTACATCCCATTGTTTATTCCGCTGATGTTTGACTAACAATGCAAGAAACCAAAAAACAACCAAAAGAAAAATAAAAATCTGACAAACATGCAGTGGCGTCGGCAAGGGGGGTAGGAGATTGCCTCCCCCAAATACATATATGTATTTCAATCTTCCACAAATTATATAAGGTGCAAAGTGGATGGGCTATGAATCCTTGAACTCAAGGGATCATACCTGCAACTAATTATCCATACACATAACTATAGTGACATGAGAATTTTAGAGACACTGAAATGCAATGCAAGAAGGCATTTCACAAATGGAACATTAAAGAATTCATCAATAAAGCATTTGCATACCTTTGTCGTTTATTTACTCTAGTTGAACGATTTCGCATGTATGTCAAATTCCGATGAAGAAATATGGGCTGAAATATGAAGTAAAAATATTTCAGGTCAAACTTAAAAACAAAATCCTCACTCTCCTATTTGTGGACAGGCAATGTGTACAAACAAAGAGGGAAAATAAGGCACAAGGACAAAAATTCAGAACATATATTTTTTGTTTGAAGTGATTAAGTCATTTGCATGTGGGAGCAGATGGTTTTCAGGCTCAGATGTAGGGATGACTTCACTGCCATAAAATAATTTCAGTTTCCTTAGAGGTTAGAGATCTTTCCCAAAAGTACAAAAATATTCAAAACTGAGCAAAATTAGAATGCCAAGAAATGCACTTACTGCAATTATATTTCGGTGTTAAAAGCTTGATAAATCTGTGTTGGTTCTAAAATGCAAAAATGATTACAAAAATATGTCTTCTGTATATATTTTGGACAACTTGAAGCACTGACTAAAAGTCAACATATGACAATAAAATAGAATTATAAAGTGATTAGATAGATTTGACTGTAATGTATTAAACTCTTTCATAAATTACTGGAAATAATCACTTCAAGAGTCTGCATCAATTTAAAGGATTCATCTTCATGATTTCAATTACCATCAGCCTACTAATCTTGTACTTATTTCAGTTGCTGAGAAGTTTAGCAAATTTGAGCATGCGTAAAATTATATTGGAAAAATAAAGCATCAAAATGACAAAATGCAGAAATGCAAACACAATAACAGTAGGTTTGAGGTTAGGGCTAGGACTTAGTCATTAGAGCCAGAAAATATATCTGACTATTGCAGTTTTTCATTGTTCGAGATTCTTTCTTTCTTCATAATGTAGACGACTCTTATTGAGTAAGCGTGTTATTGTCTAAAACTTCTTCCAAATATGCAGTTAGTGAATCGCGAAAAACATACTTTCAAATGTTCGAAGAAAGGTTTCATGGTCATTTCTCAGCTGTTCAAATTTCGGGTTTCTTCCGTTCGTGATCACGACGGCATCTCCTTTCTCCAACATCGCGTTAATAGTAAAATATTCAAAGACTACCAAATTAACAATTGCTTCTTTACCATAGAGTGTGTCTCATTTCAATGCTCCATATTGCAAGGCAATTGCTTTGATTTGTCTCTGCATTGACGAGGAATATTGTCTTGAAGAAAATTGAGCGTAAGTTTTCACGCTTCACCAGTGTGGCTTCGCCATAAAAATTTCGCTTTGCACATGCGTTCCACCCCCCCGGTAAAAGTACGTTTTCAAGCTCAATTGATACGAAATAAAAGCGCCGTCTTAAGAAAACGCTTTCGGAAAGAAAGTGAAAAACAACAAAGTCGAAGCTTTTCAAAGTAAAGTCTTGTCAGGATTGAGGATCGATCGAATTCTTGATCATCCAACATATTACGTTTAATTCCCTTATGACTTCCCCCTGAAATATTTTGATGTTCGACTACTTCCACTTCTTTCTCACGAAGTTGAACATGAACTTGTCATTATTCAATATTGCTAAAGAAAGAATTTCATTATTTTAGTTAAAAAAGTTGAATCAACGAATATGTTGTACTTTTCATTGACGTATTTTGTAAGATACATGAAAATGAATTATAAAAAGCGTCCATGCTTCAAGACAATTCTATGAAAAACTATCAAGAGAATTGAAAGGGAAACCAATTATATGGAAACATCATGTAAAGCACGCGGGAAATAATGAAACCAAACAAAAAAATGTTAAATTCTACAATAAATTCGTTTCATGAAACTTTCCCTTGCAACTTTCTCTTTTGAAATGTTTGGTGAAAGCATTCGATCTCGTGAAAGAGTTGACGCGGACCAGACGAGACACGGTGCCTCCATTTAACGAAGACTGCGTGAGGCAAGTGTTGGACGAAATGAAAGCTTTATTCGAAGCCAACCAAAAGGACGTTGCAGCGACTGTTGAGGGAGAAGGCGGCCGAGTCTCCGCTGTTCAACTACGTCATGCGAGCCTCGAAAGGAACAAGCGCTGTCTCTTGGCCTATGTGTACAATAGAATGGAGCGTATACGTGAAATTCGATGGGATTTGGGAGCGTTCTTCCCGATGAAGTAAGGAACAACCTGAACGAACAAGAAATCGCTTGGTTCGGACAGTACAACCGTAATCTGGCTAACTACTTGAGATCTGTTGGAATCGATTTGATGCAAGTCAGTTTACCTCCGAAAACTTTGTGTATCGAAGTGCGATGTCTTGTTGATTATGGTGAATTCGTTACAGAAGATGGCGGAGTTGTTTTATTGAAGAAGAATTCAGTGCATCTATTGCAAAGATCAGATTGTGAACATCTTGTGAGACAGGGTATATTGGAACATATATTGTGATGGCAGACAGGTGATAATACTGATGTAGAATGTTGATCTCCAAAGGAAGCTGCTGTAGTGCAATATTCTCCGGGGACCATGAGACTGGGTGGTGGTGGTGGTATTGCTAAGGGAGCAATAACCCTAATCCCCCAAATATGTGCCTTCCTTTTGAATTTTTGAATTTTACTCTCTGATTCCTTATTTGAAACCAACTTTTGAGGCTTTTGCCATTCGTAGCCCTTCCAATCAAAATATGCTCGTTGTCCCAGTTCTTGTCTCTTTTTTTAAATATTTAATGTGGCATGCAGAAAAAAGCTTCTTATATTAGTGAGGTTCTTGAAAAAAGCAAAACAATGCAGATTTATAAGCTTACTGTTCAAAGTCAATTAGTTCATTTGATATTTTACCATTCACAATAACATATGAGTACTTTACATAATGTTTACATAATGCTTTTAAAACAATCATCAGAGTATCAGAAAAACAGGATTTCACCTCTCATCTTTGGATAGTTTGATTTTACATTCTTTTAGGCAATCACATTATTCAAATACGTGAGCAGAGATTTACACTTTGGTCAAGATAGTTTTCAGTAAACAAGGTATGTCACAAGATGACTGCAAGTAATATACATATGTGAAAGAGAATGTAAAAACCAACATAGCAAGAAAATTTCTCTCACTTATTCTTGAAAAGCATTTTTCTCCTTCCAGCCTTCGCAAGATATTCAATAAAAATTCTGTCAAGGTTAGCTACAGCGGCTTGCCCGATATTAAGAGTACAATTGCAGATAAAAATAAAGCAAAAATTTCCGATAATACCTGTAACTGTCGAGTAAAACCAAACTGTCCACTTAATATAAAATGCCTAACCTCGTTTCTTGTATACAAGGCTGTAATCACAATAAAGAATACAAATGAATCCAAAGTGTACATTGGAATGACAGCCGGTACGTTAAAGATTGCTACAACAATCATACGAAGTCTTTACTCCATTACATCCATAGAAATGTGACTGAACTTTCGAAATATGCATGGAAACTTAAAGAGGAAGGTAAACCATATAATATCACATGGTCCATAGTAAAGTGCGAACCACTAAGAAAATCAGTTTTGATAACAAAAAATAAATCATGTTGTCGGTGTTTGGAAGAGAAAATTAACATTACGTATGAAAATAAGTCATAAGAAACTTCTGAACAAAAGATCTGAAATGTTTGCCAAGGGCCGTCTCAGAAAAAAATTTACCGCGAAGTGCTTTTCGCAGGTTTATTATGTTAATTTAAATTTGAATAATAAACAAATTTAGATTTGAGGACGCAAAGTCTAAGACGACGTGAGTATGGCGTAACCATAGATATATTCAACATAGATTGCTGACGTATGTACATGTTATATGTGCGCGCGTGGGGCCATTACATTGAATTATAAATATACTGGAATGATGTTGCATCGTTCATATGTTTGCATCGTTCATTTCAGAGCCATTGGTACACTGAATCCTAGTTCTCATATATACGTTATCTAATTCCGCTGAAAAATTCAACAAAAAACATCTAAAAATTTTGACTGTAATTACGAGTGCTGAATTAGTACAAACTTTAAAACGGACACAGGTACAACTGAATTTCACTTTGCAGAACATATTTTTATTAAATTGCTTAGAAGATACAGTTATTGTATATAAAACTCGACGTTGTTATTTTTTAATGGCGATTTGCTAGTTTTGCAGTTGTAAATTATAGACCTAGGACTATAGCTACGTTTTTCTTTTCATTCAAAATTTGAAGAAAATAGGCAGCAAATTCACTATCTGTCTGTTGTGCCATTTTATATAACTCTTTTGTCTTATCCACTCGTGGTATAATTCAATCTGCATAGGAATCCGGTGTTGTTCAGTAGTAAATATACTGCCAGTTCTGTGATACTTCACAGTTCGAGAAGGAGTATACACATATCTAAGCGCCCCAGCCCTAGTTCGCATACTTATTTACTATGTATATCTGAAAGACATACATAGTAAGCACATAGTGTAATTATGCTAGCATAATTACAAGAAGCACAAAAATCGCACCGGGTAGTAAAGGCCAAACTCAGGACAACGGCAGGAGCCAAAGACGGCCGGCCCACCCCCAGCGCCCGTGCGGGGGGCCGTCGGGGTCTATTAATTAGAGAAATATTCTCTCATAGAGTATATCCAAACGTTCGACAGCCATGAAGCAGGGCAAGAACAAGTGTACGTGGTTATTACCCGGAAAGCTCACCACACGTAAGCGAAGCTTCATATGTGAATACTGTGGACTTCATATGAGGCGATTAATGGAAGGCGGGCGACTTCCACTACCATGTCGTAAGTGTGGGGTCGGAACACAGGCAGAAACTATCCTTTGTCAAGCCTGCAGTGTTGATGGGATGCATCATAAGCTCGTTTATAAACAGAAACAAGCAAGAAAGACATTTGCTAGAGTACTCGCCGAATTAATTTCGACATTTTGAGTTAATTTCAATTTGGAGAATTATCTCGCGTAGGGTATAGCACTAAAATTTGCGACACACGAGATGAATACTCTCGAGAAACTTCTGCAATTATATGACCAAGGCGTGATCAGCGGAGACGCGCTGAACGCCTCTCTTAAGGCTCTTCAACCGCCCGCTGACTCGACACCCACGCCAAAAAATGTCACTCCGCCTATCCCCAAACCGCGCAAGCGCAGGCCCGCCGAGTCTACCCATGATGAGTTGGACGCATACATCAATGAGCTTCTGGCTGAATTTAAACCACGACGCCTCACAAGGGCTCCTCCCCTACCACCCACGGAACTTAAGTGGGATAAAACGAAGGCCTTCAGCTATCATCTGAGAGCCTGGAAAATGCAGGTGCCGAAGGGGCACCCCTCCGAACGCGACTTGATGGTTTTCCTCAAAAGCGCCCAGCCCCACATCGGACGCAAACTCGTCGAGTAGCTATTAGCTCTACGAGGAGTTAAGTTCCAGTTGGCTGTAGAAGTTGAGCTTCGGAAGGATGAAGCAAATGGTACTAAAGTGCTTCAAGCACCAGTGTTCCGGACAAAGCAGATCACGCTGCTTCAGGCGTATGAGATTCCGCAAGCCCTACATGAAGCCTTCCCAACAATCCTGGAGAGACTAAAAAAGTTCACTCGGGAAGGGTCTGGGTGGATAGTGGATCGTGTCAAAACACTCTGGCTTGACATCGCTCACTACCAGCCTTTACGCGGAGGCTCATACCTTCCTCTCCCCACCTCGGGGGGGATAAGAATAAGAAGGAAATCGTCAACGTGAAAAACAAAGATGACGACTGCCTCCGCTGGTCTCTAAGATCTGCGCTGTTTCCCGCAGCTAAAAACCCGCAACGGCAGGGCAAGTATCCCACGGAAGACGGCCTTTACTTCGCGGGAGTGAGTGTACCCACACCGCTCTCCCAGCTCGAACGAGTAGAGCGTCAGAACGACCTTGCTATGAACGTGTATGGTTGGGAAGTCGGCGTTGTTCCTTGCCGTCTGAGCAAAGTAGAGAGAGCTCGCAAGACTGTGAATCTCTTCCTCGTCTCGGATTCGAAAAATCGTGAGAAACACCACTACAATTGGATCAACCGCCTTCTCAACCAGGAATCGAAGAATGGCCACCGGCTGCACTTCTGTGAGCGTTGCCTTCTCGGCTTCACCAAGCAGGATTTGCTGGAAGAGCACAAGCCTGAATGTCGAGGCATCAACCAGGCCGCGCTTGCCGGAAACAACCCCGGGAAAAACGACAAGATCCGCTTCGAAAGCCACCACAAGCAGTTCAAAGCGCCCTTGATAATCTACGCCGACTTTGAGAGCTTGATTCGTAAAATCGAGGGCCCCTCGCTTAACCCTGAAAAGAGCAAAACCCAGCAAACCTTCCGACACGAGGCCTTGCGGCTACTCGCACATAGTCGTTAGTTCCGACGGGGAAACGCCGCCGCTGCAGCTTTACCGAGGGCCTGACGCAGCCAAGCATTTTCTGGAAGCGGTCCAAGAAAAAGAGCGTAAGATGAAGACGGTATTGGCTAACTCCAAGCCTATGCGCATGACAGGAAAGGACTGGAGAGCCACAAGAAAGCCACAAACTGCCACGTCTGCGGCAAGCCCAAGTGTTAAAAAGGTGTTAAAAAAGGCCAAAGGTGTTAAAAAGGCCGTCGTGAAAAAGCATATCAGTCATGCTCAATATAAAGAGGCGCTCTTCGAAGGAAAGCGCTTCCACCACGGTATGGATATGCTGCGCAGTCGCGGGCATCAGATCTTCGGCGAGCATGTCAACAAGACATCGTTGAGCCCGCAGGACACGAAGCGCTGGATCGCGGCCGATGGGATCTCTACCCTAGCATACGGGCATAGGGAAGCCGGTGCCACAGGCGAAGAAAATGCCTTCGTAGAATAGCTGCTCCACGGCTAAACGCAAGGTAGTACCAGACAGTGAAAGCTTCGCTTTCATAAAAGCGTGACAGGACCCCATCGACTAAGCCGGCGGTGTTTCGGTCACAAAGGGCACCACTTGGAGCTCCTCGCGCACAAACGCGCGCTTGGGCCCATCGCTCAAATAGTACAACACGGGCTTCCCACCCTCAACCACTGCCCGCTCGACCTGGTGGGAGGTCACACTCCAACTTTAGGCCATCGAAGAGGCCCACGGGCATAAATAGACACTAACGCCTTCCCAACCTGGGTTTCCGTCTTGTCAAAAACGCCTGGGCATCCTTATACCGACTTGCTACGTCGACAACCGTCAATGCGTATTTGAATGTGCGTCTTCCAACTCGATGGTGAGGCAGCAACAAGAGATCGGCCTGGTGAACCTCATTCAGGGTGCTGATGTCAAACTTAGGTCGGGGGATAGCACTTCGCGCTGGTGCGGGCAAGTAGATCTGCCAGATGGCCTGTTTTGTTAGCCATTCATGAGTCTCATCCTCGCCGACGCCAGCCTCTCTAGCCAGCTTTGGGATAGCAGCACGGCCGCGCCAGTACCTCGCAGGACTGTAGTACACCTCTGCGAGGCGTTCCTCAACGCTTCCGTCCGTAGAAACGATTATTTTTCCTCCATTAAGAGGAGATTCGCTTTGGGAAAGAAACCTAGAAACAGCACTACCACATACACCACAGCGCCCTGCAAGTCTGGGGTTGCCGTTATGATTTACAACTATACCAATTATAACTGGTTGAATTTTTTTGCAACGTATACAAAACGCGAATAATAGTTATCAAGATTGACGTCAATGTTTTAATAAAGCTTAAGACAGTCACACAATAAGCACGAACAACATTGTTTTCTGTTCTTTAACTCTTTAAGTTTATTCATTGTATCCGACATTGCTTGTGGTTCGGATTTGACTTTTTTATTAATTCAGATAGTCGGCACGTGTTCACTTCCTTGGTCTTGAAAGTCTTGAGTAATTATTTGAATTTAGCAAGGTACTCCAGTTTAATATTTTATAGCAACGTCTCACCATATATAATTACATTAATGTTCGTTAGTCAAAATTAATTTTTAAACTATCTTTTTACATACGGAGTAAAAAGCTTAGTATTATCACAAGTATTTCTATTGATTATTAAAATAGATGTACAAAAATTATATATATGATTGTTTCGTTTTAAAAATGAAGTTCAGATCGGCCATTCCAAGAGATTTTGAATGAACATGAAACATCAACATAATAAGACATTTAAATATTAATATTACTAATCATTTTCCCGAGTATTTATTCCATTTCGATACGGGCGTGTACTTTCTTGCATGACATAAAACGATAAAAATTAGGTTTTTCTTTGCTTCTGGACGCCAAGCAGTGAAAAGGCAAATGTCAATATGTTTTCGTAGGCAAGAAACATAAAGGCCGCTGTGAGAACAGTTTGTAACAATTTAGCTTCGAGACCTTTGTAAAGACCCTTTACACCACCTTGTCTGCAATAAAATGTTGGAGACTTTAGACTTTGAACGTTCATAAGACTAAAGAATGCATTTATCGTAGTTTCTTACAATCCAAATAATACAGATAAAATATTCAAATAAGCGGAAAAGGTTTTTATGAGAGCACAAGTCCTGGAGATGTGAAAATCAGTGGGGAGGAAACACTGACATGTATAATAAACTGGATGGCTAATCCACGTATATCATATACAACGATACGCTTATTGCATACGCTTTATAGGTCCAAATTTATAACAGTAAAATCAAAAGAAAATTGAAAAAAAAGTATAGTAAACGATAAAAGGTACGCAAATAAGCCAAATGCACGGTTTCCATTTTCACGCAGGATGCGTTATCCTGTTCGACCATTTTTTCTCTGTTTAGCCTTAAAGTTTAAATTTAGCTGTCCTCAAACTAATAACCCACCAATGGAGATTTAGCCAGCTCACCAGCAAGCTAAATTGAACAGGGTCGTAGCTAGAACGCTAATTAAAGAGGGAGAGTATATATTCATAAATTCAGTTGTGCCTGACTGACTTCTTTAGAAAGCCAAATCACTTTCAAAAGAAGTCAGTCAGGCACAACTGATTATATGAACATACACCCCACTCCACCCCAATTAGCATTCTAGCTACGGCCCAGTCAATGGAGGGAAAATAGGACTATGTGCAATGCCGCACAATGTCTGAGAACGCAAATTTGCCAATACCTATGGAATATCAGCAGTGTCCAATCACAAAGAGGGGGGAGGAGTGACTCATATATAGCAGCTCTTGCATTTTTGGCAACGTAAGTAATAAAACTGTGTACAGACTGGGGTTACATCATTCAAAAACAATGTTTAGCCGGTGTTTTGCTTGCCAACTTTACTTGTGCATTGAACTTCAACATATTCACCTTAATATCTGTGCCATAATAACTACAAAATTTGGTTTTTTTGATTCGTCTTTCCAATAGCCTGTCTGAAATAAAGAGATAAAGTTATATGAGACACAACAAGACAGTTTGAGGGGAAAAGGAACTCGCAATAGTCCAGGTGCTACAAACATAACATGACCCATTTTCCTCAAAAGGTTGGGTGGCATTAATGGTTAGGTACTATAAAGGGGAAAAAAATTTTAACGGTCAGCTGACTCAATCTGGGTTCTTTTAGGCTCCATGCCCTTGCAAATACCTCGAATTCGGACCTTTAATGGACCTCATTAGCCTCATGGCTGTAATTTTGCTGGCAGTTGCAGTTTTACTAGATGAAACAAAATATGCAAAAGCATACCAAAAAATACAGTTCTAATGCATATTCAGACCTCTCGAAAGGACACTGTCTCAAATCAATAATAGATCCCAACAAGTACAAACTTATATCTTTGTACGAACAATCTTTGTGCAATAAAAAAGCAGTTTACAAAAAAGCATATTAAAAATTAAGATTCCTTTGTCACTCAGCCAGATTTTAACACTATTTTAACATATTTCTAAGAATATGATAAGAATGCACCAATCCACGTTTTCGTTATACTTCGTAAATAAGGTGCCATAGAACCGCTGAGCTCAAAATGTGATCGGGGTACAGCTTACGTCTCCCAATATAACTATGTAATTCATATAAGTACAAAAGAGCTGGTACGGTTGAAAAGGTAATTGTTGTGTTGTTTGTAGACGGGACGAAACTTTCTTGTGGGATTACATACCAAACTGATTAATCAAATTCAGAAAAAAACAATGTCAAAATTTCGCAGTAGACAAGAAAATTTGTGTATGATTTTTCTGCCTTGCATAGAAAACAGGGGTAAGTGTGAAAGAAAGAAAATGATGGATAATCGGGCCACCTCAATCAATTCTAATATACATGGACAGTAAACTAAAGCATGCATGCTAAACAACATAATAAACTGTGATACATTGATCTGTCTTCTCTTACAGTTTTCTTTCTGTCAATTGTGAATATGAAGCAAAATTGGCATTTCTCTACAAGAAAATAGAAATATATTATTTCATGGGCGACGGCAATTATATGTTATGACATATTTAAAATTGCCCTAACTTACCATTTCTCTAAACTTTTAATTTTCGGTATCGGTGTCAGCACTGCCAGGACTATTGTTTCCGTTTCTGTTTTCGTCTGAGGTTAATTCTAAACAAATTTAGATGCATATTTTCACATTTCTTTTTTTGGTAGTTTTGTCAAATTTATAGTTATATTCGATACGTTTTTTTAAAGCGGCTTAGAATAAAAAAAACCCAGCTCATTGTAAGCTAGCTCACTGTAGTCGATGAGATCTCCTTCAAATTCATTTTCATTACTCGATACATCTATCAGCTTAGGTGATATTTGACCATCAAACCACTTGACGTTATAATGACCGTCAACAATCTGTCAACCCATTTCCTCTGGTAACTGAGTGGGTGGAGAGGGTGTGGTCGACGTCAACCACAATTCAGCCGCATACTTTGTGCGACAAATCTTTTGATATAGAAGCCAAGAACAAGGTGGCAAAGAACTCCAATCAAATTTTTTGACACAAGTCAAAGCTTTGTCGTTTTCTTTTGGTTCATATTTCAGGAAAAAAGTTCTAGCCTCGTTTTGTCGACAGAGGATAGTATAAAAGAATAATAGTATGACCCCGCTTGATTTAGACAACTGCCTTTTATTTTCAATTTTCTTTGTTTTATATGCACTATTATCACATGATCCTATTTTGCTCATTTATGCTAATTATTATATAACTACTACATCCCTTTCCCTTTTTACATAATTAAACCTAACTATTATTTATTATTTCTTTTTCCTTTTCTGTGGTTTTGTTTGTCTCACTTTGTTGTCAAATTGCTTGGAGAATCCCCACTCTTATATTCAGATATTTTGATACGCAACTTTCTTCCAAACAACACCTCAGCTGGAGAAACCTTTATGGTCGATGTTGTGTCGTCCTGTAATTTCTAAGGAACGTTGGTTATTCCTGTTTCCAATTTTGTCCGTTAGAATTAGCTGTTTTAATCGTTTTCTGTATTGTTTTCATAAAACGTTCAGCCTCTGCATTGGCTCTCGGCCAGTATGGTGTAATTTTTCTATGTTTAAAGCCTAATTCTTAAGAGAACTTGTAAAACTCTTCACTATCAAGAGGAGGGCCATTATCTGATTTAAGTTCCTCTGGAATGCCAAAGTCGACAAAGATTTTGTCTAATTTGTGCATAGTGTTTTTCGCTGTTAGTGTTTTAACGATTTCTACTATTGGAAATCGAGATTACTCATCAATCAATACAAGCAAATATTCACCAGTAGGCATAGGGCCACAAACGTCGATGTCAACTTTTTTCCATGGATTGTTTGGTACATGCACAATGGTTCTCGTTTGTTTTCATTTGTAGCTGCTAGGCAAGGCAAACATTCAGCTAGCTGTTTTTCAGTCAATTTATCAATCCGAGTTAACCACACTTTTTCCCTTAGTAATGCTTTAGTTTTACATATACCTTGATGTCCCTCGTGAGCCAGTTTTATTATCTTGCTTTGCAATGATGTTGGAATTACGTTCTTTGAGCCTCGTAATAGTAATCCGTTTGATGTGACTGTTAGCTAAGTTTTTACCTTTTCGAGGGATTTCAGGTCATCAATATTGCCTTCTATGTGCTCTTTATGTATTGTATACCACTTTTCATTCTGAGTCAACCTCTTTGCTAATCTCCTCCATGTTCATAGCTTTGGGTACTGAATCATCTGCAATAAAATTGACATACTGTTCTGTAAGATCAGGTTTTTAGGACTCAATATCATCAAAGGGATGTCTGGACATGTAATCTGCTGGGTTACTGATTCCTGGACGATACTTGACTTTGAAATTGTACTGTTGTAATCGTAAGTTCCAGAGGTCAATCCTGGCTGGTGGTCTGGAATTTGGATTAATGAAAATCAGGTCTAGAGGCTTATGATCCGTTATCATGTCAAATGTTGACCATATGGAATGGAATGTGACAATGTGGAATTTTTTGCATCACCAGACTATTGCCAACGCTTCATTCTCTGTTTGTAAATAGCGACTTTCTACGTCGGACAAAGCACGACTAGCATAAGCAATTACTTTGACGTCGTTGGTTCCTGGTTGTTTTTGGGGCAGTATTGCACCCTGTCCTTCTGGACCTGCATCAACAACCAATTCTGTCTGTTTTTGAGGATCAAAGTAGGCCATCACTGAATTACCAACAAAGCGACTCTTTATCTCATCCAATGCACGTTGATGTTTACGTTTCAATATCCATCTAGCGCTCTTTATCGTTAGTTCTCGTAATGGTGCACTTATAGATGCATAATTTGGTATAAACCGAGAAACATAGTTTACAAGTCCAAGTAAACTACGTAACTCTGTTGCACTTCTCGGGTTAGGAGCATTTTTGATACTTTCGACTTTCTTTGGGTCTGCTGCAATTCCGTTGCTTGAGAACGTATAGCCATAGAAGTTGATACTTTTCTTGTTATACTCACATTTCTCTTTATTCAGGGTTAAATTGCAATCTTGCAGTCGTTGTAAAACTGCCCGCAAAGCTATGTCATGTTCTGCTTGATCTTTTCCACACACTATGATATCATCTGATATATTTTTTATACATGGTATTCCGCTCAGCACTGTTTGTATGGTGTGTTGAAGCACTTTTGCGGCGCTTGATAACCCAAAGAGGCGTTTATATCGATATAACCCTTTGCGTGTGGAGAAGGTTGTAATATATCTACTTTTTGGATCTAACTCCAGTTTGTGATAACCACTACGCAAATCAAGCTCAGAGAAAACGCAAGCACCATTCAGATCGTGAATAATTTCATTTACTGTAGGAGTTATGTGTCGTTCGCGTTGCACTGCCGTATTTGCTTTTCGCATGTCGATACAGATACGTACTTTTTCAGGGTCTTTTGCTTTGGGAAAGACGACTATAGGACTTACCCATGGTGTTGGGCCAGTTACTTTCTCAATTATGTCTTTTTCTTCTAATTCCTTTATTGCGGTATCGACTTTTTTTGTGTGTGAAATGGTACACGTCTGTGGTGTTGAGCAATAGGTGGAACTGTCTCATCAATATGGATTTTTACTTGGTGATCTTTAAGCTTACCAATCCCATGAAATCTGTCTTCAAATTTCTTTAACAGTTCTTATTAGTTTAGACTGACCCGTTGTTTGTTTTGTCTGGATTGTGTTGACATCGATAATCTTGATTAAATTTAATTTTCGTGTTGTATCATAGCTAAGAAGTGAGCCATTCGCTCGGTCCACAACATAAAACACACTAAAATCGGTTTTATTCTTTGATTTAACAGCAGCTTCATATTTCCTAGGATTTTAAGTGTCTTATTTGAGCCATACTACTTTAGCTTGATGTTTGTGTGTTCAAGTTTAATTGATGGCATTTCTTGTAACAAGGTTCGATACGTTGTTTTGTCTATAATGTTTACGCTCGCATCAGAATCTATCAACATTCTGACTTCAGTCGCTCCAATTATTACGGTCGTTTTGGGCAATCCACTTTGGCTATCTTTGTTCATTGCGTTGATTACTTGGGACTGAACAATGAACGCATACTCTTCATCACTACTCGAGTCAAAGCTGATTGTACACATTTCATCTGATTGTTGTTTGATCACTTCATTCACTTGACGTTGTTTTAAGATAATTTTACAGTACTTTGCAAAGTGGTTTCGTTTGCCACACGCAAGGATTATCTTTAGGATAGGGAAATTTCCCTCCGCAGTTAAAAAAAGTTGTAGTTCTTTTGTTCATACGTCATTCATCCTGCCTTACGCACCGCCCTTCTTTACTTTTGCTTGATCTGTTATTCGCTTGATTCTTGTTGTACCAGACAGATCCTTTTGTTCCCTGGATTTGGACTTTATTGACTATTCTTTGATTTTGTTCTATTCCCAAAGCATGTGTTTCCGATGTCTCCAGAGTCCTGCCAAGATCTAGAAGCTCTTTAAGTGTTAGTTTAGGATTTCGTAACGCCTTCTGCGAAGCCGTGATGAGTTGCTGTTCGTGTGATTTGATTTCTGCGGGGGCGTCGGAAAAGCTGCACGTACCTGTTTTAATCGAGTGTAATACTGATCTAACGTTTCATTAGCATTTTGTTGAGTACGACGAAATATATAGCGTTCGTATTCAACGTTTTGTTGTGGCTTGAGATGTTCTTTTCGTTTAGCTTTTGCCGTGTCGTACTCCTTTGTTTCTCCTGTATTCTCAAGCGTGCGAAAGATTTGGTAGATATCGTTCCCTGCAAAATGAAGTAACATAGGTCGCTTTCTTGTTGCGTCTTTGATGTCCATTGCTGCCAGATAATTTTCAAAACGGTCTAGCCATTCGTCCATCTACTAGTTACAGCTGTAGGATTTTCTCCGACCACAAACGGTGGAATAACAGGCAAGTATGATTGAGCCATCATCTACTTGTCTATCCTGAACATCTTTGTCGCCATTTATAGAAGATTAATAGTATGACCCCTCTTGATTTAGACAACTGATTTTATTTTTAATTTCTTTGTTTTATATACACTATTATCACATGATCCTATTTTATTTATTTATGCTAATTATTATTTAACTATTACAGATAGTTTCTTCATTCCATACATTGCACAAAGAAACATTTCTATTGACAAAATAGTTTCTTTTAGTATTTCCGTGTTTGTTCCCAACGACACAAAGGTCTTGAGTGCATTTTTATCTCCTTCAAGAAGTTTAAATGGACGAATTTTGCCTTTTCGACTAAATGAAGCTGTAATCACACCCAGTGAACGCATGGAGTTCTGGCAAGGCCAACAAAGCGTTTTACCAAGTTCCAGGAAGATCTGATTCATGCTGATGTATCTCAGTATATTCTTTGTATAAACGCGAGTTTCCACTCAAATATTGAATACATCAGGTGGCGCGCTGAAAAAACAATGTTGCTGAATTGTGGTTGTTGTCGACCACACCCTCTCCACCCACTCAGTTACCAGAGGAAATGGGTTGACAGATTCTTGACAGTCATTATAACGTCAAGTGGTTTGATGGTCAAATATCACCTATACTGATAGATGTATCGAGTAATGAAAATAAATTTGAAGGAGATCTCATCGACGATAGTGAGCTGGCCTGCAGTGAACTGTTTTTTTATTCTAAGCCATTTAAAAAAAACGTATCGAATATAACTATAAATTTGACAAAACTACCAAAAAAAGAAATGTGAAAATATGCATCGAAATTTGTTTAGAATTAACCTCAGACGAAAACAGAAACGGAAACAATAGTCCTGGCAGTGCTGACACCGATACCGAAAATTAAAAGTTTAGAGAAATTGTAAGTTAGGGCAATTTTAAATATGTCATAACATATAATTGCCGTCGCCCGTGAAATAATATATTTCTATTTTCTTGTAGAGAAATGCCAATTTTGCTTCATATTCACAATTGACAGAAAGAAAACTGTAAGAGAAGACAGATTGATGTACCACAGTTGTATTATGTTGTTTAGCATGCATGCTTTGGTTTACTGTCTATGTATATTAGAATTGATTGAGGTGGCCCGATTATCCATCATTTTCTTTCTTTCACACTTACCCCTGTTTTCTATGCAAGGCAGAAAAATCATACAGAAATTTTTCTTGTCTACTGCGAAATTTTTGATATTGTTTTTTTTTCTCAATTTGATTAATCAGTTTGGTATGTAATCCCAATACAAAGTTTCGTCCGTCTACAAACAACACAACAATTACCTTGTCAACCGTACCAGCTCTTTTGTACTTTATATGAATTACATAGTTATATTTAGTAAAATAAGTCGGAGACGTAAGCTGTACTCCGTTCATGTTGTCAGCTCAGCGGTTCTTAGGCACTTTCTTTACGAAGTATGACAAAAACGTGGTTGGTACATCCTTATCACACTCTTAGAAATATGTTCAAATAGGGTAATACTCTGGTTGAGTGACAAAGTAATCTTAAATTTTGGTATGCTTTTTTGCAAACTGCTTTTTTATTACACAAAGATTGTTGGTACAAAGATAGAAATTTGTACTTGTTGGGATCTATTAGGGATTTGAGACAATGTCCTTTCGATGGGTCTGCTTTTCCCTATTTTGTTTCATATTGTAAAACTGCAACTGCCAGCAAAATGAGGCTTATGAGGTCCACTAAAGGTCCGAATTCGAGGTATTTGCAAGGGCCTGCACCCTAAAAGAATCCGGATTGAGCCAGCTGACCATTATAATTTTTTTCTCCTTTATAGTACCTAACCATTAATGGCACCCACGCTTTTGAGGAAAATAATGTTATGTTTGTAGCTCCAGAACTACAAGAGTGGGTCTCAAGTGTATTTATACTAATAGCTTGACTTCATTTTCTGGGACAAATGACAACACCTCATTTCAAGTGGTGTAGCCATCCTGCAAATATAATCGTGCTATGTAAATATTTAATTGTTTGCTCACTGTATAAACATTTGATTTCTAAAGAAATGAATAATGAAGATCTGAAATTTACAAAGCAGGACTAAAACTTGACGGCTCGTTTTGCTACTGAATCATTCAAAGCAATAAAAACTTCAGTTTTGGTAAACGGGTATTCACTACCAAGAGTGCAAAGTACAACATAAAACGACCATCATCAGACGACCGTCCTGAGTTAGGAAATAATTATTTTTAAAGTGCCAATGTCAGGGTCGAAAAAATAACTTCAGATAGTTTAATCGAATTTAAGAACATTTGCAACATATTTGATAGGTTGAAAATTTCATCTTAATGGACTTTTTAGGATGTGAGGTTACAGGAGACTGGGGATCCAAGGATAGCGCAAAGTTTAATTTTTCTTATCATGGCAAAAACAATTAGTTTCAAGAAAGCTTAGTATCGAGCCTTGGCGTTTCAAAAAATGCTAAACTGAAATTCATATCGAGAAGTACTCAAAGGCTAAGCAGTTTGTTTTTTTGACGAATAGCTACAACTTGCTCCAAGATTGCGTACAAGGTAGGCGAAAAGTGCCATTTGCAAAATTGCTATTGGGTATTATATAAAACAGCTTGTTGTTTACTATAAAACTGCAGTGCAAGTGTTCAACTTTTTACGTACCGTTTCTAAAGATTGCGTTACGTTATTTGTATGCACACTTACCTAGCGGTTACAGAATAAAGACATTTGGCTCGCCACAACCATACATTCGTCATTCATGCATCACATTCTTTTATTATTACGATGAAGAAAACAACTTATAAACTAGGAGTTACTATCGCAAAGTAATTGCTGCCTGTCGCACAAGGTAGGCGAAAAGTGCCATTTGCAAAATTGCTATTGGGTATTATATAAAACAGCTTGTTGTTTACTATAAAACTGCAGTGCAAGTGTTCAACTTTTTACGTCACATCTAGGGCCGAGTCAGCTACTTCTAGGGTCAAAAATCCCACGAGGATAAAATTCTCGTCCAATCAAATATATTGCAAATGTTCAAAAATGTTATTTCGCAAACACTGATAAACAGGTGGTTTAAGTTAGGTCGCTTACCCTTTGCTTGCACTGTGCAACTTGACATGGGTATGTAAGAATAGTTGCCATGGTCTTAGCAATCGCACCAATCATGAAATATTTCCAAGACGGCAACTGATTTAATAAGAAAAACAAACATTAAAATGCAATTCTCCATTCAAGCATTGAAAGTAAAAGATAAATAAAATGTGTATGCAATTCACATTAAATCATGCTGAAGAAGTTAGAGATCTGATTTACAATTATGAAAACCATGAACGAAAAACCATCGATAATTTAAAAAAATATAGTATAAAACAAATTCCGAAAAAACAAGGCATCTTGAGATTGAAAAATATGAATCAAAACAAGACGAGAAGTGAACTGTAAATTCGACTTTATTTCAAAGTCATCCTCAGACAGAATGATATTTAAAACCATACATACACATATATATTTACAACGCATAAAATAAGTAAACGGAAGTAAGTAATAGAAATTAAATAGTGTGATATTTACAAAGGCAGAGTTGGAAGAAGTGTAGTATTTCAAAAGGATGAATAATCCACTTTGGCGGTTTTATTTGATCAAACACGTGCTCGCTAAGTGAAAAACTCGGACGTCATAACAATTACTAATTTGCTATATGAAATAGAAATAAGTTTCGCTCTCTTGCAAAATAAATTTTAACATTTTTTTATTTCAAAATGTAAGCGCTTAAATGGAAGAAAGGTTACGTGAAGAGAAATTCAAAGCTATGAAACTGCCAGATCTAAAAAATCACCTGCAGAGTAGATGTATAACCGTAAGTAATTATCTGCAGCCGGGACTAGTAGCTACGGTGGCTCACAAGGGCCACCACACAAAATAAAAATATTAATACACACACAAAATAAAAATACACACACAAAATAAAAATACTCACACAAAATAAAATTGCACACACAAAATAAAAATACACACGCAAAATACATTATACACACACAAAATATGATTGCGGGCGCTTGCAGTGTCGGATTGTCGGACTATCATATTATCAGTTTGTAATTGTTGTAAATTGTCATGTTATGTTGTGTAGTGTGTGAATATACCGTATGATAAATTGTAAAATGTTTGTCATATATTACTAGACAAATAGGAAAATATGTATATAGTTATTAAACTGTGGTTTCAGTGGAAATCCTGTACGTAAATTCAAAATACTTAGGAGCACTTTTTCTACCCAATGTGGCATTACGTACAGGATTTCCACTGAAACCACACTTTAATAACTATATACGTATTTTCCTATTTGTCTAGTAATATATGACAAACATTTTACAATTTATCATACGGTATATTCACACACTACACAACATGACATGACAATTTACAACAATTACAAACTGATAATATGACAATCCGACACTGCAAGCGCCCGCAATCATATTTTGTTTTATTTTATTTTGTGTGTGTATTTTATTTTGTGTGTGTATTTTTATTTTGTGTGTTATATTTTGTGTGTATTTTATTTTGTGTATTTTTATTTTGTGTGTGTATAATGTTTTTTTTGTGTGTTTTTTTTGTTTGTGTATTATTTTTGTGTGTATAATGTATTTTGTGTGTGTATTTTTATTTTGTGTGTGTATTAATATTTCTATTTTGTGTGGTGGCCCTTGTGAGCCACCGTAAGTAGCCATTGCATGTGCAGTGGAAAAAAATGAACATTCCATTGATGCCGCAAGTCAGTAAAGCCGAACGTAAGTAAATTTAAGTCGTCGTTTGACCATCCATGACGTTAAGCTGCCGGATCCATTTACGATTAATGTTTCAAATGATTTTAAATTCACCCTCGTTCGGCTTGTTTGACATATTTAATCATCTTATATATCATTCATCGGAATACGACAAGCATGGTCTTGCAGCCTATAAGTCGTTCGAGAACTATCGTTTGTTTTGCAATGGATACGTTGAGTTTTTGCTAACAGCATACAGGTAAGATTCTGGGGTCTATATTTATATAGGCAAGATTAAGCCTACAATAAACGAAATGACTAAAGATGGTAAAGACGTTAACGATTTATGGTTTATATTGGAAGGAAACGGGTCTAATCGCGGCAGTGTGCTTGATGCGTATTGCTGTTGTCTTGGTGGTAGAGATGGTGGATGTAAGCATGTATCATCTGCTTTGTATTCTCTTGATGACCTGCTTTATTCTGAGGAGAGGATAGTGTTACAAGTAAAGAGTGTAAATGGATTCGAAGGTCAAGGCTTGATACAGCACCGTGCAAGCTAGAAGATCCTCAAATAAAATAAGTGGGACTTAAAGATCAAGGAAAGGAAAGAAAAAGAGATGAAGCATACAACCAATACATTGACTACGACTCACGTCCATTTACGGACAGGGGACCCTGTTCACATGAACAACTTGTTAGTGCAGTAAAATCAATGGATGAAATAAAGAAGAAACCACCTATACTATCCATTTTGAAGAAAGAAGTGTATGGCATGGATAAAATTCTGGAAAAAAAGAAAGAATTAGATAAAGAATCATCCAAGCATGGAATAATGGAAAAAAAGATAATGCAACACCCCGAAAGCAATCACCAAGCAAATGCAGATGGCTTCTTAGAAAGTCTCAACTTCTCAAATAAGGAGATCGAGGATATTGCTTCAGTTACTAAGAAACAATTTTAATGCAGTGAATGGTACACCCATAAAAGAGGATTTATAACTGCCTCAAAAGCTAAAAATATTTACACAAAGCAGACTTGCATTGAGAAACATGAGACAGATGTTTCTTCTCTCGTAAAATTGCTAACAGAACAAAAAGATGTCGCAACAATGAGAAAACATTTGGTTGATGATCCTAAAAATCCACTCGAATGGAGACAGAAACATGAACAAAATGCTAGAAAAGCTTACTATAGTGTTCAAGCAAATAAATATAAATAACTTAGTTTAATTTCAAAAGGCTTCATGATTTCAAAAGATACACCTTTTCTTGGTGCTAGTCCTGACAACATTACAAGTTGTAAGTGTATGCCTAAATGCGATAGTGTTGTAGTGGAATATAAATGTCCGTGGACCCACAAATACCGTGATCCCAAAGAGGCATTCCTGCAGCCTGAGATTGGTGGTAGATGGGAAAATGGCAAATTTTTTCTTCAAGAAAAGTCCAGTTATTTTTATCAAATTCAAGTGCTCATGCATATTGCTGGACTGAAAAAGTGTGATTTGGTAGCCTGGACAACGAAAGGAATTTTCTGCCACCAAGTGACATAGGCTCTAGTGTTCTTTGAAAAGATTTGTTTGAAGCTTAAACGATTTGGCATACCAACGTTGGGCCACACATGTTCAAAAAATTCTGCATTTTGAAGAAGGTATCTTCTGAATGTACAAATGGTAAGCATTTAATTTGAGTGTTACCTTGACAAATTTACTTGAAGCGAACATTCTCTTGTCGCAAAGGTGTTTCTCCCCAGGAAAATATAAAAAAAATTACTTTGCTTCCACTTGCGTCTCGTTTTAAGCGATCAGGATACCGCGAATCGCTTTTGCAGGTTCCCCAAGCGCACCTCTTCGTCGTAACCATTGTTATAAAATTACTCCGCCATGTTTGTCCGAGTTTTTCTCTTTAGCAAACACGTGTTTCCACATATATGAAAACCGCCAAAGTCGTGTATTGCAACCACAGACCCGACTGGTGGAATGAGTGTAATTTAAGAGAAGAGTTGTAATTCTTCGCTAGCCTTAAGTCCCGTGTTAAGAAAAGGTTTGTTATGTTTGATGAGAATTCTCACTTAAGTGCTTCAAGAAAAGCAAGAATGTGGTAGTAGTTAGATTTGATAAAGTATTTTATAGTTGTTGAATACAAGGTTTTCTATAGGAGAGGGAGTTCTGGGAGGTGGAAGGAGATCATTGAGTTGCGAGAACTGGTTTTGTAGAGTGGCCAGGAATTGAGCGTTTTCGCACTCAAAGAAATGCGGGACAACTGCATTGAAAAACTCATCTTAGATTGCTGCAACAAAACTGCCTTTTCTTTTAATAACACCATTTGTACCCAAAAAACGGCATTTCTAAGGGTTTGTCCTTAGGACCTGTCCTTGCTAATATAATTTTAACCGAATTTGAAAAATTAATAGTTTCCGATCTACTTAATGATGGCCCAATAAAATTCTCCAACCGTTACGTTGATGACACGCTTGTTTTGATCAAACCCTCCAATATTACCACCGTCTTATCGAAATTTAATAGTTTTGATGCTAATCTCACACTCACAGTTGATACATTTCACGATGGCATAATTCATTTTCTAGATATAAAAATTTCGGTTGCTGGAACTGACATTTACCGAAAAGACACCCACACTGGTCAGTACTCACATTTCTCTAGCTTCGAACATTTTCATCAAAAAATTGCATGGGTAAAACCTCTTTACCACCGTGCCTTCAAAATTTGTAGCAACACTCTTCAACAATCAAATTGAAATAATGAGATCTTACATGTCTTGGAACGGTTATCCTAACAGCGTTAAAAACTTTTTGTTTATAAAACTAAAATCCAAATACAATAATTCTATTCCCATTGATAACCGCTCTTCTATAGATGATAATCTACATAAAATCTGGGTTCGTATTCTTTATCTTGGCATGCGTGAAGATTTCCTCTTAAAGTCCTGTTTTAAGAAAATTCAAAGACATCTTTCTCAACAGGTGAAATTTGTCATTATTTATGACATTAAAAAACGCTCCTATTTTGACTCTAACAAGGACAAACTTCCTTCACTTTCTCGCAGTAATCTTGTACACGAAATAACTTGCCCTGGCTGTGGTAAAACCTACTTCGGCATGACTCTAAGATGCCTGTCTGTACGGCTAAAAGAACATGCAACCAGGCTCACTTCTAGTGCAGTTGGCCAACATTTCTCTGAGTGCGAAAACGCTTAATTCCATCAATGCGACTCTACAAAACCAGTTCTCACAACTTAATGATCTCCCTCCACCTCCCAGAACTCCCTCTACTATAGAAAACCTTGTATTCAACAACTATAAAATACTTCACTCAACCAAATCTAACAACTACCACATTCTTGCTTTTCTTGAAGCACTACTCATCAAACATAACAAACCTTTTCTCAACACGGGACTTAAGGCTAGCAAAGAATTACAACTCTTCCCTTAAATTACGCTCATTCCACCAGTCGGGTCTGTGGTTTCAATTCATCCTTTTGAAATATGACACCGCTTCCAACTCCGCCTTTGTAAATATCACACTATTTAATTTCTATTGCTTGACTTTCGTTACTTAATTCATGCGTTGTAAATATATATGTGTATGTATGGTTTCAAATATCAGTTTGTCTGAGGATGAGTTTGAAATGAACAAAAGGATGAAGTTTTAATTTTTACGTCAAAATCATGGACAGATTTTCATATTTTCCAGAGGGATGGAGCTAAGAATCATAGGGGGTGTGAGCTGATAAAAAGTGACATAAGACAAATACGGTTCTAGATTTTAGTGCCGGTCTGGTAGTGCGACCATCGCAGGTAATATAGAAAGTTGAAAAATTGCGAAGAAAAACTTTAAACTTAGTTCCTTTGTTAAAACTTGGGTGCGTTAAAATACTTCTCACAGTATTGAACAATTTACGTGGTGGGGAAGGTGGGGGTGAAATCTGATATCTTTGGAGTTGCATACCACACAAAAAAACTTCTCTAGCTTCATTAAATTTAACAAATCAAATTTAAAAACGAACCAACAAGTGGATAGGGTGTATAAAAAAAGGTAAAGAGTTGAGAAAACGTCGGCAACTATATTACCGGGCACAGCAAACTACATTCTTTACGCGGATAAGTCTATTGGTTAAGATGTTATAAAAAAAATCAAAGCTCACATCTTTGCCAGCTCCTCGAACATATCTCTTGATTGTTTCATAAACAGTGAATTGAATTGCTGGATTAGACGTGAGCACCAGCGACGCCCTCGTACCACTCCATAGACCGCGCAACCCTTCCGTGCGGTATATTTGGTGAACAGCATCTGAAAAAATGTAGGAAATGTTGTGTTAAAATGCATCTAACGAACTCCGATAATACGGTCACCAACTGCCGAAATAAGATGGCCGTACCATTGTATATTCTACCCCCAAGCCAGAGCATGCATATTTTAAATTTTACACAACTTTTAACTGTTTTTGATGAATTTAAACTAGCAACAATGAAATGGGAGAACATCACAACGCGTTACTCAGGACGTCCTCAAAAGTGACACTAGCTATACGTGTACAAAGAGCAGTCTATAAAAAGTCAAAAACATATACTACAGCATCACTTTTTGGGGGGTATCGTGTATTTCAAATGTGTATTTTATGGGAGTCTGTAATTGGTCTATGATCTATTATACGTCTGTAATCGGTGTATGATTACATAGAAAGAAGGACGTTTCGAATATTACAAAGACATAACTACTAATCGAGTAGTTGAATTCATCTAGAACTGAGTTTCTTAGTTATTGCAGTGGTGTCGCCAGCCATCAAATTTAGTCGCGCAGTGTAAATTTTAGATCAATAACATTATTTATTTCTTTAGCAATGTATAGTTTTTACAGTGAATGTTCGCTGGTCAGTACTAACCGAGATATTTAGCATGACCAAACTTGCGGGCTGGCTACGCTACTGCATTATTGTCTTCCTAATACATTTTAAGTACCTATTAATCCAGTATATTTGTATTGCACTTTTCGACTCAATTCTTCCGATTTCAAGTTTACACCTTGAAGTTTCATTCGCGTATTTGCCACCCATAATGGAGTAGTGATTAACACGTTTATTACACCTAAAATGATAATTTTATTGAAAGTGAGTAAAATAATCGGTGATAAAGCAGTGGCAGACAGTCGGGGACCGGGGAGCATGAGCCCAGAAATAATTTGAAAGACTACATCAAAATCACACTTACAAAACATAAGTATACCTATAGGCAAGCCCCGAGATCTCCCTAGAAATCTAGCACCTTGAGGCCGAGCCCCTCACTAAATACTTCACAAGCAGTCCGCTAATGTGATAAAGCAAATGCTTTTCGTGACGAGATTGTTTAAAAAAGAAAATAACGACTTTTTAATTATGACTTCAACGTAAAAACGTTGACATGAATATAACAGGAACGCTGCCGAAAGATCAGCAACCCCGACTAAAGATTCTTAATTTGATAGCAACTCATCTTTGGAAATGATGGATGACAGGTGAATTTCTTTGACCAAAAACCTATAGCATCAACGTAATTTTTTCATGACTACGATGAAAAGTTTGTTGTTATACCTATTATAATTTAGACATATGAACATAGGCATAGGAACACATTTAAATTTGGGGTGGTAGAGGCTGCTGAAGTCAACGAGTGGTCAACTAGACCTTTTTAAGCTTAAAAATTCTTTAGAGTCGAGTACTTGAAGCAAGTTATGTCATTTAATCGTACTTCGATACAATATACAAAATGTAAGTATGGCAGAATGTAAGTATTACACAAAAACTTATATAATAAACAGAGTGCTTTTCATTGGACAAAACGATACACATGTATTTTTGCACCAAGGCAGCACAAATGCATGTCTCAACTCTCTGTAGTTTGAAAAAGGGGCCTACGTCATTGACACTCGTAAATGTGTAAAAAAATATTGATGAACTTCATTAAACATTAGGCAAGAGTACAAGACAGTCGTGTTCGTGATGTTGCAAGTCGTGCTAATTCAAGTGATAGCAATCACATTTGATCTTAGAATAGGTTTTACTCTTTTACGGTCTTCACTAAATAAATCTGACAGAATTTTTATGTGCAGTTATCCTTGTTAAGTAAATTTCTAATTCGTTCATAGAATTCGTGTAATCTGTGCGTCATGCGTGATCAGTAGGTTATATACTGCAAATTTTGGCTTCATCAAAACAATCTGAATATAGCGTTCCAGTTGTACTCATTTCAACGCGTAAAACTAATTAAAGATGTTCACGAGTACGTCATTGCCAATCTTTGATGTTTTTTTTATTGTTAGTATTCTTTTGTAAATTCTTGTGATTTATTTGTACTAGATTCATTCTTCCACCTCTTATGCACCAATGGTTGACTTAAAAAACCTCCAGATCTTTTCCAAAATCTCCAGGTTTCTTAAAATGTTTTACTGCCTCCACATATTAGCTAGCCTAAGATAGACAAGTCTATAAATGGAAACAACGTTCTGACCAGAACTGTAACCCTAACAGAGTTTTTGAAATTTGCGACTTTGTAAGAAAATATGATTGAACATCTAAAGATCAATCAATTGTAAAATAAAATTAAGTGGGCAAGCTCTCAACAATGCCCACCCTATCTTGTAAAGGATAGGACGGTAAGAATATTCATACATACATGTTATAATCAATAATTATAAAAACACTTGATTTTGAAGAAACATAACACTGAAAAATATACATGCATGAATACATGTTTGAATACACACAAACAATTCAAAAAGACAATAACATTTCATTCATATCAAAATCAATATTTCCAAATGAAGCAGTATAGTTCCTAAAATTATGAAGACCTCATACCATCTTACCTGCTAGAAATCCACATAATAAGTCAACAACAACTGTCTCAGGGGAACGTTTTGTCACATATGCAGCTTTCAGTCCATTGAATGTATAAAAATACACAAAGTTTGAGCAGTAAAGACTGGAGAGAACTGGCAATAAGCCACGATACAATGAAGATCTGTGAAAGCAAAGAATCCAACTAAATATTATGCATTGATTTTTATCATTTCTACACATCCAACTGTTGATTGACAGGTCACACAGACCTTGTTTCTTGCAAGCTCTGCTTTCAATAACCTTTTCAAACCATAAGTGTTTGCTCACAAGCAGTAGAGACAGTTACTTTATGCTTTTCAGGGCAATACAGAAAGAACAAGTTAGCAGATAATACATACAAGCCCTCCTCATGAACAATTTCATAGATAACTTTCCATGTTGTTTTTGCCTTCCGCTCATCATCAACTAAATCAAAATGCATACAAAATATGTGGACAGAGTAAAATGCTCTTGACTTTATATCTTAAATAAACGTAAACATAATATGTTCAAGCACTTACTTTGTAATCTGGTTTTTGCAGTGTCAAGTGGAAAGAAAATTGACAATGAGCTTATGCCTCCCTGAAAAAGAATTTTAAAGAGCATTGATTATGGAAAAAATCACTTGCATCAGATTAGAACTAAGTTATATAAAAGTTGAAGAAATTCACATTACTTCTGAAACATTATGTGCAATATGGCAGAATAGATAACGTAAGCCTCTTTTATTGCAGGCAATTTGTAAGATGACCATATATTATTGCATATGTTTATAAATTACATCATTATTATTATTTATAAAATACGAGCAATAGAATTTCTGCAGCAATTGGTCTTTAACTATGTTTGTATTGGCCTGTGTAAACTGATTCAAGCTCAACCAATCAAATCAATTAATAAATCAAAGAGAATTTATAAATCAATAATGAATACATGTCAAAATAAATATTAAAACATTTTTGTCTGTTTTGCATTATTGTCCAGTAGGTGCAACCCTAGACCTTTGGTCCTTGGCCTACTGATATGCTCTCAAGTTCTCCATAGGTCTTCTCGGTTTGCATAAGCTAGTGCATACACAGCAAACATCCTTTATTTCTTAAATATTGATGAAAACATGTCATAGCATAATACAAGAAAATGAATACAGTTTTAGAAATTCATCTTGCTGGGTTTGTCTTATAAGGCATTGTAAAGCAATGGCATAGCCTGTTGGATAATTAAGAGGGGAGAGAAGTATTGGCATATGCATGTTTTGCTATTATGGATTGTAACCATTGATGTAGAAAGCATTAATAATTGAAAGGTATTAAATTAATAATGCATGTTATTACCCTCAGAAAACCATTGATTTCAGAGTAACTTTAAATGGTACAACATGAATACATGAATATTGCCCCCCTCTCAATTATCAAGCTAAGTATGCCCCTGATTATAACATATATGGATAAATTTAGCCCCCTTTTAACTATAAAGCTGTTTATGGCACTGATTAAAAAAGCATGTATTCTCCACAGTTTCAGAGACATATGTCACATATGTTTATAAGTTTGGTGTTTGAGAAATGCATGTCAGGTGAAATTAATTTTAAAAGGGAAAAGTAACAACTCAAAGAGAGATTTTTTAGCATCCATTCCAGAATCCTTTAGTAATTGGAGCAACTAAGTTCCCCAACAATGGATCATATAATAATTTGAAACATGTGGGTTAATTAAATCCAATCATCATACCCCACTAAATTTTTCATTGACTAAGGATATTATCATCTCTCCAGGTTTATACGTATCAAGAGATCACAACAATTAGAATCGATCGATGAAATCAATTGATAAAAAATTGGCTTTTACGAAACTCATTCGTTTCCCTGGATTTACTTGTACTCACCAAGGCACCGGCTAAAGCGTGAACAAGATTTTTCTGAGAGAAGAGCTGGCGAAGAAACAGTGGAACTTCGCCAAACAGAAGAAAGGCACGAAGTTTTCCAACACTCACAGGTTTCGAGACGACCGTCATGACTATGGTAATAAAAATCGGACCAAAAACCGGTCCCGTGAGGAAGAAAACGCAAGACTTTCCAAAGGCCACAATGTCATGGGATATGGGTCAAATATGGGTCGCCGATTGAAAGTTTCAATTATACCAACAAAATGTCAATTGTAAAGAAAATTCCTTCTTGAATTTCTTCTCATACTATTGGTTTGGAATAATCAAAAGCGGTCAAATTCCCAAATGTACACAGTGTCCTTTCACCACTGTGAATTTAGCAACACATTAAACACCACCAGGGTTGTTAGGCTCCAGCGCTCGTTTGTAGCCAAATATGGTTTGAAAAGTGGCCAAATGGCAACAAAAGAGGCCAAACTTGTTTTCTGAGCTTGCACTGTTTATGGCATGCGGTTTTAATAAGTTTTTCTAATTGCTTCTTATAGTCTATATGGATTTATCATAAATATATACCATACATTGCAAATCTAGCGATGCCAACGCCTAATGTTCACATCAAAGGACATATAGGAAGAGGTGAATACAGAACGTAAGACTGAAAATTTATTCGCTGTTGCAAAAATAGAAGGTGCTTGTTGACGAAATGAAGAGAAAAAATGAACTACACGTCCAAAAATTTCTTGATAAGCATTACAAGCTTAAAAAGGCCATGTCAAAAATACAAAGTGAATAAACTATTTTATCTGTCTTTCTATAAGATCTCGACGTGCATAGTTGTCATTTTTACTGCTCTCCATATATACAGATTTATATAAATATTTATGCATAGTTCTTATAATGTTTATTCTACTCACATTCATACATGTGTTTAGTGGCAAACAGCTCAAGCATTCGCTTAGTTACCTTAAAGTTAATGCAGCAGTTCCCGGCAAAGTGTAGGCTGGAACGAATACGAATAATGGCATTTAGCAGTTCTAAGCTCATCCTATTGCGTTGTTTGGTCTTCACTGATGTCACCAAGGAAAAGGTTCTTTCAACCACTGCATTGCTTACAGGATTTGTCAGGCAGCTTAAGGCGTAAGTTGCCAATTCCTTGAATGGTTTGACCCCAAGAGAAGTTTGGAACTGAACTATCTTTGACCAAAATGCAACTGCTGTATCAGGTATGATGCCGTTAAAAATTTGTTCCTCTTTCCAATTTCGGTGGACGATCTTCCTGTACTGCTCCTCAATTGCATAATCTTGATCCTTTCGTAGATTAGGAAGCGGCAGTTGCTCAAAATCGGCTCTCGTTGTTACATCAAGAACTTTGCTTGGATGCAGGGCGCTTAAACCTTTAAAGATATTCCGGACAGCTGGTAAACGTTTCTCTACTTGATTTACAGCTTCCACAAGAAATTCTAGACACCTATTTTTCACTTCAGAAACTTCAGCTTCAGCACGTCGTTTGTCTTGTTGGGAAGAAATGTATTTCTTTGCTTCTGACAAGAACTTTCCACCAAAGTCAACTTCATAAATGGCTAGATATTTTCCTTGGTGGTCGAAAACTCTACCATATAAACTTTTATGGTGTACATTTAGTTCCGTGAACATTTCTTCTGGATCACCATCAGTTGCCTGGAAGAAGGCATTCACCCTGTCGAATTCTGTGACCAGAGGAGAAACGAAATGGAAATAAAGATATAGGACTGGATCATTGAGCATGTCCAGAAGAATACGAGCCTTGAATCTTGCTGCCTGCGTCGTCTCTGGTTGTGCTGTTCGGAAGTAAGCTTGCAGCTCAAACCAATTTGTGAGAATGCGAAATATAACTTTTCCTCTCACAAGCCACCTCGTAGTTGAGTACTTCTCAAACGGTGCATCTTGCACATCATCTGGATTCATCACTTCGTAGAGCGTCTTGTATGCTTCTCTTCTAATAGCGCTCTTTGAAAACCATTTCGGAATTTCTGCCAGAAGAAATCCTACACTCGACGGAAGTTTCTCAAATGCATGCTGAACACAAAGGGACAACGAATGGCAAATACACGTCATCTTGATGCAATGAGGAGCGACAGCAGCTATTCTTGTCCACAGCGAATTGTGTTCCCCAACCATCACTGAAGCACCGTCACTAGCATAGCCAACACAATTCACTAAATCAAGTTTAATTGTGGCAAGGCAATCTTTGATTGCATTAAAAAGATCATCTGCTGAAGTGTGGACAACAGGAACCAGGTCAACAAACGCTGTAACGATCTTATTTTCAACTTCGCTGAAATACCTTACGATAATGCAGACCTGCTTCGATGTGGAAATATCAGTAGATTCATCCACAATTAACGAAAACTTCTTACCCTGGACATCAGCAATCAGTTGTTCCTTCAACGCTGGACTTATAACTTTGGTCAATAGTTTTGAGCATTTGTTTCTATGCATTTTAATGTTCTCAAGTTTGCTTCCATGAGCATTTCGGGCTATTATCCCTCCGAGATGATCCATGGTCAAGATTGCCGAATGGCAAGCCATTGTAACAGCTAGCTCGATCTCGGCGACCTTTACTTCTTCTGCAACTTTTGGGACACGTACGACTTGGATGGGCCTTGTAGTAGTAGATACTTTAATGTGTTTGATGTGTTTATCAGTTTTTTTCGTGTTTGGTTAAGTTTGCTTGTTTGGGTCTGATTGTGGCACGGCACAATTTACAAAAAAGCATCTTCACTTCCGTCTGAAGCTTTTGTGAGCCAGCTAAATTTACTTTCCCAAGACTTGTTATATTTTCTTCCGCTATCATACGCTCCTTTCCATTTTGATGCCATAATATTGCAACGAATAACGTTTTTATCAGTCTTAACTAGTATTAGTAGTGGTCGAACGTGCTATTTATAGCTAGATGTCGGACGTCTACGAAGACAAAGCTGTGTGCTTGCTTGTGATTAGCTGGTTAAATTGCATGACAATTGGCTGAATTATACTTAGCTGTGATTAGATGAAAACAATTCAATGCTCAATTTGATCCTTATGATCATTTTTAGTTGTATTTCCATCGCATTTTGTACATTTAAGAGATTTTTACAAATAAAGCTCAATAAAAATTTTAAAAAAATTGTTTGAGTAAAAAGAGGCCAAAAAGTAGCCAAATAGCCAAAAAAAAATTTCGAGGCCAAAGAAAGAAAAAAAAGGCCAAAATCGAGTTATTTGGCCTCAAAAAGGCCAAACTAACAACCCTGAACACCACCGTCATCACCACATTCGACTAGATGCTATCCATAGATATATTAAACATAGATTGCTGACGTATGAATAATGCTGGGCCATCGCAGAACCCTGGCCATTGAAAGAGTAGGGACCATGGCAAGTATTGTTCTCTGCATTCTGCATGGTGATTGGGTAAATACGGTCACGTGGGTATCTCGCCACCATTTTTGTTCCAAGAGCGCAATAGAAAACGGGGTTTGCTATAACCAATGAACTTTAATACAACTAGAGTTCATTGGCTATAACCCGAGCGATTATCGGGGACCCACCTAATAGCTTTCTGGTCAGCGGCAGAAGCCTTTACATAATAATCGCTAATTCGTACATAAAATTTCATAACACAAATCAAGACAAAGTATATAGCATAGTGCCCACATTGTGTTATATGTTCATTTGGCATTTACAAAATATGCTATATTTATTTTACATGTCGTCCAAGCGGCATCTCTGACACAAAACCTGTGGTCCTTTTTAAAACAAATGTTGCTTCAAACGCGCATTGTGAAATATAGTAGTAATTCAATGCGTGATGCAACATTTGCGCCCTGCACATATTTTATACTCTTCCTCTTTTAATATTTTGTACGTTATCATTCTATATGATTGCGCCCATCCTACTTTCTTAGCAGACTGGTGTGTCCAGCCCCAACTACGTAAAAAAATTTAAACATTGTACAATGAACATTGTATCTGTGTGTTTTTATCATTGAAGTATGCTGTAGTGACGTTAAATTTACGTATGAGATTAAATGTAGAAGCTACTACTTAGATCCTAGGAAATGGCCTATCTTCAATGCCTATACTCATTATGCTAAATATTCGCGCACTTTTCATTCTTGGGTATAGGTACTTGCGTTTTTCAAGTGCTTTATCGGTCTCGCCTTAACTGCACCATTCCCCGTACAAACATTCCAAAACCTTTTCGCCTTCAAGAATGAAGTTACGCCACTGTAAGGAATTTTCAGTTTCCCATCTTAACATACCTGTCAATGTTTGTAAAGGCTATTATCCTCTTGTTTTGCAATCTAATTAGCTTTAAAAAAATTCGAATGTTATGACTAGGATTAGCTTTTTTAATGTGAAGTGCTTCCTTAATTTTAAGTGTGTATATTAGCACTGACCCTACTCTCAACGTTCAATGTTTTCGATGTAACACCGTGTTCAGTTCGTAAATACACCAATGAATAATTTAAGTCATATTTTTACCGCATATAATTTATAGAACTTGATTCAAAAATTCAGAATAATAAATGTAATGTGTACCGCCTGGGCCATATCTCTTTGAAGACTAGGTTTTTCTTTCTGACTTAACTACGCAGAATGAGACGTGTGAAGCTGCTTCGAAATCCTTCAAAAATTGATCTAAGTTTTCCTCTCCGTCAATAAAACCCTCAACAAATTTTTCTTTCAAGATACACTGTTTTAAGTGCAAATTAAAAATGTTTAGCGATGACATAGAGCAGGGGTCTCCAAACTACGGCCCGCGGGCCAGATGCGGTCCGTTGGGCCTCTCAATCCGGCCTGCAGAGACACTTAAGAAAATAATAATAATACTATTAAACAAAATAAACTTTGTGCAGAAAGTTCACGTTATGACGCAAGCCAACTAGCAAGAGTGGCTTACGTCAATTTTTGTCCCAACTTCCTACTGAGACAGAATCTGTTGACATGCCATATTACACTGCAGTAAGATGGCTAAGTTGTGGAAAAGTGCTTTCATGGGTTTTTGAGCTAAGGAAGGAGCTATTTTCTTAACTAATGAAGCTTGTGTTATGTACTTCGTTTTATTAAAATATTCGCTCTTTGACCAGCGGTATAGGGTTCGTCGGCCCTCAACATGCTGTATGAAAGTTAATGTGGCCTTATGGCTATAAAGTTTGGAGACCCCTGACATAGAGCTTTGATTAAGCGCCATTCTTGAATTGCGCATGAAATCATAATATGAATTTCCCGCTTCCGGGCTATTCATAGTTCGTTCATTTTTCGGCTGTCCTTCGGAAATTATGAATTTGACGTCATTACATCAACTACGTGCTTGTAGATTCTCCCCTTCGTATTTGACAATGACATCAAGATTGCGAGTATAGAGAAGATCAAAACTATTCACAATCCAAACACAAGCACTCACTTTTTTAATTTCTTATCCCTAAA